CTATCTGAAATGCTATGGAAGCTGGGCGTGGTGGCGCACGCCTGTAATCCCAGCACTCGGGAGGCTGGGGCAGGAGGATCATGGTGAGTGCGAGAACAGCCTGGGCTACAAAGTGTGCTCAAGGCCAGCCTGAACTGCATAGCGAGACCCTGTCGCAAAAAGACAAAAAAAAAAAAAAAAAGCTATGGAATTTGGACTTTAGTCTGAGGGCAGCTGGATGCTGCCTGGTGGAGAACATCTTTCAAAACAGGTGCCTGGGAGCAGACAGTCCACGTGTGCTAAGAAGCCTGCAGGCACAGATGCTGTTCAGCCTCATCTTGGGCTCTCAGGCCCAGGGTCAGGCCTCCCGTGCAGGCGTGGAGGCCTCCAGGCACCAGGGCGCACCTCCAGCTTTGCGCTTTAGCCTTGGTGCTGAGAAGCCTGGAGACCACGCTGAGAGGTCGTCAGAGACCTGTGTTGGAGGGAGCGGCTGCCTGAGGCCCAGAGAGGAAAGTAACTCTCTGTGGCTCCGTGGCAATCTGGAAGCAGCGCCTCAGAGGTCTGGCTCCTCACCACCAGCCTGGGCTTCAGGGGAAAATGAGGCACAAGGGACCACACTCAGGGCGGGCCTCGCCGGCCTCCCCCTGCACACCCCTCAGAGGCAGGGGCTGCGCGTCTAGAAAGCTCGGGTGTCTCTCTGGGTCAGTGCGTTGCCGGCGCGTTTGGAGGGTCAGTGGATACCCGCAGATTCGAGGGAATACTGGCTCTCAAGCAGAGCGATATGGGTACAGATGTGTGCATCCCTGGGTAACGATGAACCTCAGAATAAAACAAAAAACAAAACTCAGGAGAGCAGTATGGGCAGGACCGGAGCCTGGGCTGGGCCGTGCTCCCCTCCCTGCCCCTGGTTTGCAGAGGGAACTTGAGCACTTTGTTCCTGTCGCTAGGCTGCAGGGCAGGTGTGTGAACCAAGAAGCTTCCGCTGAGCACGCGCTGCGCTCCGCGCCAGCCACTGCTCAGCGGCTCTGTGCTCTGAGGCCCTGAGGCCTCCCTGGTTCCTTCCAGGTGGCAAGCGTGGCCTGGGGATGGGCAGGGCTCGGGAGCAGGCGGAGTGGCTCTCCCAGATTCCCGCGCAAACATCACTTCTTGAGTCACAGCAGAGGACGCAGTGCCAGGCATTTCTGGGCCAGAAGAGCTGTCCAGAGAGCGCCTCACCCTGGGACACACCAGTCAGAAGGGGACTCAGCTCTGCCGGTGGGTGTGTGCAGTGACCCGAAGTGGTGCGGGGGATCCGTGTTAGCAGCTTCCCGGCTCCCGCTGGGGGTCTGGTCTGGCAGCCAGGATCTTTCCTGGATAGCTCAGACCTACGGTGGCCTGGCTCGATCATAAATGTTTCAAAGCAGGAAAGCAAGTTTAATGCTTGATTCATTCATCAAACATTGAAACCTGCTGTGCACTGCGCCTGGGGCTGGGGTGGTCAGCGCGGCTCCCCGCGTGGTCCTGGGTTAACTCTGTTCCTTAAAAGTGCGTCGTTTCGTCAGGGTCAGAGGCGCGTCTGAGTCGTGAACGGGTCTTACCACCACACAGTGGGGAAACTGAGGCAGGGAGCGCGCACAAGAGCAGTGTGTCCAAGACTACAATTCAAGAAAAGCAGTTTCCTTTCTTTTTTTATTTTTATGGTACTGCAGATTGAATGCAGTCCCTCACACATGCTAGGTAATTACGTCTCAATTAAAAAGACTGCACAAGGAGCAAATGTATTTGCTGTCTGCAAACTAGAGGTATCCCATGCCCTAACCAGGAGGGGCTGCATTTGAAATCCCAGCACATAGCCGGGCATGATGGCACAGGTCTGAAATTGCCGCTATACAGGAGGTTGAGGCAGGAGGATCACAAGTTAAGACCCAGTCTCAAAAGAAAATAAAAATAGCAGTGGGGGGCAGTCCTCGGAGGAGGTGGGAATCTCAGCACACTTGCTCCCGGTTTCTTAAGGACTCAGCCTATACATACTCAGTGTTCCCAGGGGTCTCACTTTAGTTTTTGCTGAAATTTTAAATCCTCAATAGTCGTGGTGGTGCATGCCTGTAATCCCAGCACTGGAGAGGCTGAGGCAGGAGGACCGCAGTGTATTTGATGGTCGAGTTGCCCCTCATCCGGCAGGCCCACTCACCTTCGACCTTTCCTGGCCGTGGCCAGGAGGGATGAAGCCAGCCAGGAGCAGGGACAGGAAGCAGGACCCCCGCAGGAGCCAGGCTACATAGTGAAATCCTGTCCCTCCAAAAACAAAACTCAACATCCCGGGCAGGAGCAGGGTGTTTCAGCGCGGAACCCTCCCCGCTCGCGGTTGCAGTTCAGCCGTGGTGCCCTGGCTGCATCCCCGCCCAGGCTCGCCTGTCCCTGCGGGGGGCGGGTCGGGTCGGGAGGGGCGGCAGGGCGGATCCGTAGCTCCCCAGGTCCCAGCCGGCCTGCGATTGGCTGAAGGGATCCAGCCTGGTCACCGATTGGCCCGCGCCAGGCTTGAAAGGCGGCCGGCCTCAGTGCCCCAGACGGCGGCGCGGCGCGGTGGGACGGCAAGGGCAGCAGCTCGGCGCAGCCATGGCCCGGCTCCTGCGGGCGTCCTGCCTCCTGTCCCTGCTCCTGGCCGGCTTCGTCCCGCCTGGCCTCGGCCAGGAGAGGTCGAAGGTGAGTGGGCCTGCAGGATGAGGCGCAACCCGACCCTATGGCGAGGGACACCCTTCCTCTGCCCGCTCCGTCGCAGGCACCCCCTGTGGCATGCCAGGCGAACCCCACTTCGCTCCCTCCGCAGCCGTCCTGGGGGCGGGGGTCACCTTGCTCCTTCTGTGGTGTTGTACCAGTTGTCCCCACCGCTGGGGTCTGGGGGAGTCCCCGGAACAAAGCTGGGGACCTGGCCTCTGGGTTGGAGTGGGGGTTGCAGGAGACCGCAGAGGAGAAAGGGAAGCGGCGTGCAGCTGGGAGGGGCTGGTGTTGCAGACTTGCTCGAGCCGAAGCCCAAGCACTGCAGGCGCAGGTAGAAGCGGCGTCCAGGGCCGTGAAGGAGCAGAGAGCTGCGCAGCAAGCTCGGGACCCTGTCCTCGCCCGTCCCGGGGCTCAGGCTCTCCATCTGCAGGCGGGGGCAGGACGGGGAAGCGGACGGCTTTGGAGGGAGCCTGGAGAAGCTGCCCACTGCACAGCCCAGCCACAACCCGTACTGCAAGAGCGAGGCCGCTGGCTGACAACATGGGGCGGGCAGGGTCCTCCCGGCAGGCAACCCTAGGCGGGGGATGCGTGGGGCTGGGGGTCCAGAGTGGGGTGACACAGTCTGCATATCTCCATGGTTAGTAGCAGCCAGGGCAGGTCCAGTAGAAATGGATCCAAAGAGATTTATGTCTCCAAAACCCCAGCCACCCCCCAACAAGCTAGGGGAAAGCTGAGAATGATGGTGTATGCCTCTAATCCCAGTACTCAGGAGGCTGAGGCAGGAGGATCACCGTGAATATGAGGCCAGCCCAGGCTATAGAGTGAGTTCAAGGCCAGTTTGAGCTACAGAGTGAGACGCTGTCTCAACCCCAAAAAGCAGACTCAGGCTTTGGAGTTCTGTTCTTGGCCCAGGTCCCCTTGGTCTACTTCGCCTTAGAGCCAGGTCCAAAGACGAATGCCACACGCTCCTTCCTATCCAGCCTTGTTCAAAAGCACCAGCTCAGAAGGCGTCTTCCGGTGGGATGGGACAAGCAAGTCTCACGCTCAGCATGAGTAGAGCTGGGGTAGACTGTGTGCAGGCCAGGCTATGGAGTCAGTCCTGCCCCCTCCGTCTGAGGACAGCCGAGGAGGGGGAGCCCCAGCCCTGCCCACGCAGGCTGGAGGCAAACATGGGCCCGTGATAACTGTCATACCATGTGTTGTGCAGAACGCTGAGAGGATGGATGGGCTCTGGCAGGGTGAGGGTAAGGGCAAGAGGGCTTGCTGGCTGGTGACAGCTGAACATGCCCATCGCCATGCCCAGGCCCTGAGAGCTGACGCACCACTGCTCCAGCTTCCGGGGCCCCCTGCTGAAGGCAATGGACTCTGCTCCCAGGAGATGATTTTTCCTGCCCACTTGGAGCAGGGTGGGAGCAAGGGACCCCCTTTCCTTGCTGTGATCCCTCCTCAGTCCAGCTCCCTGCCCTTCTCTAGGAAGGACTGCAGGAGCTGGAGAGAGTAATGGCTGCTGATGTGCATGGGATCCTAGTAACCGCTAGTTTCTAGGTGACTGAACTAGGCAGAGAGGATCATGGGACCACAGGCTGACACCAGGGCTGAAGGGCTCTTAAGATGGAGGAGCTGGAGGCCCAGAGGGATGGGTGGTTGCAGAGTCAGACCCCCCGCCCCCGCCGGCGCTTTCACAGCACCACAAGGGAGGGGGAGGCGGGGTGGAGAATCACACAGAGCCGCACAGTCCAGCCAGGGGCTGAGCGACCCTCTGTAGCCCAGCCCAGCCCTCCTGACTCCGGCTCTTGTCCCTCAAGTCCTCCGCCCTCTCTGGCTACCCTGTTCAAGGCACAGGGCTGAGGGGGTTCCATGGGCCCAGAGGACACGGAAGGGCCAAGTCCCACAGACCCAAGCCGCGGCGCCCAGTATGACTGCTGCTGGTGGCTCCCCCAGGGCCACCCGCGGACCACACTGGCCCACGCAGGAAGCGTGGCGGCTTCGCCACTTGTCCTTCCTCCTGAACACCTGCTGGCCAATGCGTCACCATGTTCATACTGGTTGCTGGCATCCAGGGCCCCCTCCCCACCATTCTGCAGGAACGGCAGGGCCCTGTACCCCGGCTGCAGGCAGAACTTCCTCTCAAGGGGATTTCAAGCCTGTTGTGATCTCTCAGTAAGTTCTTGCAACCCTTCTGGAGCCACATGGGATTATCCTTAGCAAGGCTCGGAGTGACAGTGACTTGGCTGAGGCCACACCACGGGCAAAGACCAGGCCCTAGTGCCGGGGGCTGCTCATGCCCCACCCATCCAGAGCCCGTACCGGTGGCTCATCTTCCTGCTGTTTCCGAGCTCGACTGTTTATCCAGCCTCTTGGCTTTTCTCCTCCGGGCTAGCGCGTGGGTTGGGATGGAGTTGCTAGGAGGCGCCGCTTTCTGGCTGCCAGACCCAGGGCAGCTGGGCTGTCTGTGTGCTCCGCCTTGTTTGCACTGCAGGGTGGAAGGGACCTTGGCCAGACCCCAGAAGCCTCAGGGTGGGTGGAATGTGGCCCTTGGGTCTTGGTCCACCTCAGGGCCACACCCTGCTGGCCGCTAGCACCACTTTCACCCAGCCAGGCTCAGGGACCTGGCCTCAGCTGCAGGTTCTCCAGAACCAGAGGGAAGCGTAGGAGTGGGCTTGCGTCTCCACCCGGCCAACTCTGCCCTCCCGGCGTTTGGGTGCCATCTTTGTCCCTCTCTAGGATGCAGGCGCTAGGGATGAGGGCATTGGAGATCACCGACGCCAGGGCTTCCGGCTTTGCCTCCACCACTCCCTGCCCACCTGCTGGACCAGGTCATGGTTCATGACACCCTCTCAAGAGCAGACCTGGAGTCCTGGTGTCTGGGTTAGGGGTGAGGCAGGGGAGCACAGGGGCTGCCTGGGTCCTGGGCAGTGTCCCGCAGGTTGGTGGTGACACCAGCCCTCCTCCCCTTGGCTCGCTTTCCAGGCACTGGGTTGCGTGGCTGGCCCGGCTCGGGGACACACAGGGCCAGCCCAGGACCAGAGCTAACCTGGAGCAAGCGCTGGGCCGAGAGAAAGTGTGTGGTCACTGTCACAGCTGCTCGCCACCAGCCTTTCTCCACTCTGGCTCCTGATCTGTGTCCCTGCTTTGTGACACTGCCTTTTTCTTCCTGGTCCTCTGGCTGTGGACCCTCAGCACCCCCACCCCACACCGGGGCACCTCCTTTTTTTTTTTTTTTTCAGTACCGGGAATCGAACTCATGACCTTGTGCTTGCCAGGCAGGCGCTGTGCCGCTGAGCTAAATCCCCAGCCCCCGAGGCCTCTCCTTTCTGTCCCTTTGCTCCATCCCGGTGGCCTGGCTCAGGCCTCTGCGCCACTTGCCTGAACTATTTCCACAGCCACCTGGCCCAGCCCGGTCCACCCAGGCTGTACCTGGATGGGTGAGTTTCCCTCCAGCCTGAAAGTGTCCTTAAGCTGGCACTGACGTGATTCCCAGGGACCCGGGGCCCCCACTCTCGATGGGTGGAGGTGCGCAGTCTCAGGGTAACTCCCTACTGGACTCCTGCTGCTCTCACAGGCATCACGTCATACGAGATCACTTCACCCTTGTGGTCCGGTTCCAGGTTTCGGTGTGGTTCTGGGCAAGCTGCTCTCCCCGCTGCACTCTCGCTGACTTCAAAGTGGAAAAATGCCCGTTCCTTCCACCTCTGACTTCTTGGTGCCTGTCTTTCCCCTTCCAGACGGACTGCCATGGCGGTGTGAGTGGCACCATCTACGAGTTTGGGGCCCTCACCATTGACGGCGAGGAGTACGTCCCCTTTAAGAAGTACAGCGGCAAGTACGTCCTTTTTGTCAACGTGGCCAGCTACTGAGGCCTGACCGACCAGTACCTCGGTAAGACCCCGCCCCCGCCTGCCCCAGATCACAGATCACAGGAACTTCTCTGGTGCCAAAGGTGAGGGACCAGTCACAAGAGTCTCAGCTCCACTGTGTGTGCGTGTGTATGCACTCCTCTTACTGGGGGTGGAATTCCCCAGGGCATTCCCACTGAGCTACATCCCTAGCCCTTTCTGAGACAGTGTCTTGCCAAGTTGCCCAGGTTGGGCTCAAACTTGTGATCCTCCTGCCTCAGCCTCCCAGAGTGCTGGGATTACAGGTGTGCCACCGTGCCAGGCTTGCGGCATGTTTTTCTGAGGTCTGAGGTGTGCTGGCCTTGGACACACTCGAGAGCCCTGGTTACCCTTCTTTGTCTGTGGACACCGCTGCAGCCTTAAAAGCGCAGGGATGGGGGAGATGGACCCGGCTCCACAAACCCCTTTGCTCGTGCGACTGCAGTGAGACACGGCTGCGGCTCAGTCTTCCTGAGAGTGCCCCTGTCCCCTCAGCTTGGGCCCCTGGGGCTCCCCTTGGCCGCCAGTGAAAGCAAGTGTGGGTACGTGGGGAAGGCAAGGTCTGAAACAGACTGGAAGGTGACCTGTGGTGCTCGCCTCATCCTCAGTAAACCAGCGGTGGAGTGGGCCCACGACCCAGGCTTTGCGACTTCCTAGTCCCCTCAGCCCTCCCACCTCAGCTGGGCAGGAGAGGACACACAACAGCCTGAGCGGACCCTTCGGGGCTGGGGCTGGGCTGGGGCTGGGCTGGGGCTGGCAGGAGCGGGAGGCCAGGGTGTGTGACGCGCTGTTGTGCCAGGCCCTCGCCGGAGCCCCTGGAGTGGGAGCACAGCACACTGGTGGGCCAGCGCAGTGTGTCTGCGCAGAGACGGCCAGGTGCCACACTACGCACAAAGCCAGGGCGGAGGGCACTGAGAGGTGGCCGGCCGCCTTCGCTCCCTGCACAGAAGAGCCAGAGGAGTGGGGTGGCGGGCCCTGCTCCAGCGCCAGGAAGCCGGCTGGCTTTGCCCAGGGAAGGGTGGCGCCCACGGGGCCCCAGGACTCGCGCAAGAGCCCTGACGCGCCCGTATGGCAGGCGGCTGGCAACTGCGGGCCTCAGGAAGGGTTTCTCACTTCTGTCGGCCCCAGTCCACCCAGACTGGGGTGGGAGGCCAGGACCCGAAGCCCAGCTTTGCCAGTGACTCACGCCGATCCTGGGAGCCGACCCCTCCCGGCCTCAGTGGCTTCAGCGGGGCCAGGAGCGCAGGGCGCAGTGCGGGCGGGCGGGCACGCGCCTCACCAGGCCGCGGCCTCTGCTCTCCCGCCCAGAACTGAATGCACTACAGGAGGAGCTCGAGCCCTTCGGCCTGGTCGTCCTGGGCTTCCCCTGCAACCAATTCGGCAAGCAGGAGCCGGGCGAGAACTCGGAGATCCTCCCCAGCCTCAAGTGAGTGCTCGGGGCCGGGACTCCCGGCGCGGCGTGTGCGCGTGTGCGCGAGCGTGTGGTGCCGGCCCCCGTGGCGCCCTCCCGTGAGGAGCCCGCTCCCTGGAATGAGGACAGGGACGCAGGTCGGGCAGCGCACGGCAGCAGAGGGGGGACTGAGCTGTGTGGTGACGGTAGGGAGACGGGATCGAGCTCGAGGACCCCAGACCCCGCTCCGCTCACGCCCGCTCACCAGCCCTCGGCCCCACTGCCCGCCCCGACCCACGGGCGTCCCCGGCCCTCGCCCGTTCGGTGCCTGCGCCCGACCCACGCCAACGTTCCTTTCCTGCAGGTACGTCCGGCCAGGCGGGGGCTTCGTTCCTAACTTCCAGCTCTTTGAGAAAGGCGACGTGAACGGGGAGAAAGAGCAGAAGTTCTACACCTTCCTGAAGGTGAGCGAACAGCCGCCCGTGCCGCGGCGCCCGCTGCCGGGTCCCGTCCCCATGGCAGCGGGAAGGGCAGGCAGCCCCGCGAGCAGCTTCTGGCGTCCCGCCGAGTGGCCGCAGCCGCCAGTCTTCCGGGTCCTGCGCTGTGCTTTCTCTGGCCCCTCGGTGCCAGGCTGCTCGGGCCAGGAAGGCAGGGAGGAGGTGGGGGACGCCGGGCTGAGCGGACGCCCTTCTCTCCTGCTCAGAACTCCTGTCCTCCCACCTCCGAGCTCGTGGGCTCGCCCGACCGCCTCTTCTGGGAACCCATGAAGGTCCACGACATCCGCTGGAACTTTGAGAAGTTCCTGGTGGGGCCCGACGGCAGACCCATCATGCGCTGGTACCATCGGACCACGGTCAGCAACGTCAAGATGGACATCCTGGCCCACATGAGGCGGCAGGCAGCCCTGATGGCCCCGGGGAAGTAGCCGCTCCCACTTCCCGCTTGCAGGGGCTGGGAGGCCCCGGCTCAGGAAGGAAACCCCCAGTCCCAGCACACCCTCGGCACAGCCGGCACAGCCGGCACCCCCGGCCCCGGCCGCCAGGCACGCGCGCACGGCTGCCCCCTGCCCTGTGCCGGGCGTGCGTCACGCCCACCGTGCTGCACGCCGCGCACAGTGCACGGGCCTGCCTGTGCCGACTCCCCGGACTGCACCACGCAAATGCGGGGGATCGAACCCCTCTCTCCCGTTCTGTCCCAGTGACAACCCACTTTCGTGAGAGCCCAAAGCGCTAAGTCTGATGACCGACTCGGACCGGGACCCGGAGCACCACCGCACCTCCAGACCCACCCCTCCTTCCTGAAGGGCCCCCAGGCCCGCCCCCCCAGGCAGTGCGCTTGCGCGGGCGTCTCCATGAGGGCGGGGCCCGAAGCCCGCGGGCGGACCCCCCCTGAGCCTGCTGCGGCCCAGCCCTTCGTGCATTCAGGCTGAGCCCGGCAGGGACGCCCCCCTGCGCCTGTCCCCGGCACCCCACACCCCGTCTGCCTAGTAAAGCCTCTGCAGCAACCGAGCCCCACGGTGCTTCCTCGGCAGCGGCGCCGGCGTGTGGGAGGGGCCGGGGCGGACGGAGACGCGGACCCTGCAGCGGGTGCGGGCTGCGCCTCTCGCCTGGGCCGCGCAGACCGCGCGGTGTAGCTAACTGGCGTACAAAGCGACCCGGGCCGCGCCGCCCGGCAGGCCGCTCCGCGCCCGCCTCCCCCCTCCCGGCGTCCGTTCCCCCGGCCGTGCGGTCGGCCCGCCGCGCTGGCCCGGGCTCTGGAACGCGCGCGGGGCAGGGGTAGCGGGGCGCAGGGCCGGAATGTGAAACACCAGTCACAGGATGCTGATTTCAACTTGGATTTATGTCCAAGATCTGTGCAAATAGGTGCGCCGGGACAGACGTCACCCCCGCGTGCTCCGCGGGCACCACACACTTCCGGTGGGGGCGCCGGGGCCCCTCGGCAGCCAGAGCGGCCTCCCCGCGGTGCGGGGCTCTGCGGAGCCCCCCTCCGTCCCGTCCCGGGCGGCGCTGGGGACGGCTGCTCTTCCTCAGCTCCTCGCAGAGGCGGGCAGGGCCCGGGGCGGGCCCGCGACAGCGCCTGAAGCAAAAACCAAACACACGAACTGCGCCTGGCACGCGCGGGCCAGAACCGCTTCCACGGAGGTTTGAAAGGATGGGGTCGGCTGCACCGCGCTCTCAGGATGGGCGTCCCGCCCTGCGGCTCCGGGCAGGACGGCAGGGCGCGCCGGCAGGCCTCTCCACGTGCCGGCGGGCGGGAGCTTCGGGTGGCGCCGCCCCAGTATCCGAGGGCGTCCGGGCGGTGAGGTGCCCGCCCACCGCGACCTGGCGTCCCGCGGAGGCTCTGGCCCCGCAGCGGCGGCCTCTAGCTTCTTGGCAATCCGAGGTCAGCCAGCTCTGCAAGATGAAGGTGGAGCCAAATGACACAATCTGGTCTCACTGAGGCCCCGCACAATCATTCTCTGCAGACTCTAAATAAACAAAGATTTTGAGGACTTAAACATTATGTGGTAGTTAGTTTTAAAGTCTTACACGGAGGCCAACTCGGTACCAGTGAGTAACTCAGCTACCGAGTGCAGCCGAGGGCAAGGCTGTGCCCCGTGGACCGGGCCGAGTATGACCCCTTCACAGACGAGGGAGCTAGGGTGCAGGCACTGCTGGACAGACTTGCCCACGTCCCAGATCCAGGAAGGAGCGGGGCTGGGACCTGAACCCAGTCAGTCTGGCTCTCGATCCCAGCAGGGAGCAGTTCTGGGGAGAATTCAGCGCTTCCCACCAGGCCGCCCTCTGCCACTCATCCAGGCGGCCCCCGAGGGCTCCGCAGAGCCCCGGGAACACGTCTGGCCAGCGAACCCCGTCCCCAGGCACCGGATCCTCCCCCGTGATCATTTGTCCTCCAGCCTCACTCACCCTGTCTCCTCACTAAGCTGGCTCCACTGCTGCATGCTAGGGACTCTTCCAGAAGGCTCCTCACGCGGAGACGAGCCTGACCCTCCTCCCTCCCCCACGCACGAGGGGTTACACCCCCAGAGCCCCATGGAGGCGGTGCCCCTGCCCCACAGGAGTCCCAGTGGGAGCAAGGGCAGCGTCCCAGCCCACAGAAAGGTGGCACCTGTCCCTTCAACATCACCAGAGGATACTGTGGCCCGAGGGTGCCTTCCACAATGCCCAGCTGCTCACGCCACTCTGCTTTCAGGAGTCCAACAGCCCATACTTTGGGCATGGGCCCTGCCCGCCGCCCACCGGCCTCGCCTTCTCCTTCCACGCCGCTTTTGCCTCAGACCCTCAGGCCGGCCACCTTGCTCTGCTCCCACCAAAGTGATGCGGTCTGGACATGAAGGTCCCCCCAAGGCCCATGTGACACAGAAATGGCCGCCAGCGCATGGCTACCGAAAGGTGACGGCCTTTCAGAGGCGGGGACTAGGGAGAGAAGGAAGTCCCTGGGGACAGCCTTGAAGGTGATGTTGGGAGCCCAGCTGTTCCCCGCTTCTCTTTCTTGGTTCCTGACTGCGAGACCTCTGCCAGTCCCTCGCTGCCACAGGCGGAAGGGACACGGCCAAGGGCCACGGACACTGAGCAGAGTAAGTCTCTCTGCCTCTAAGTCAATCACCTCAGGTGTTTTGTTCCAGTGCCAGACAGATAGCTGACTACCGGAAAACTGGCTCTGAGAACAGGGCCACTGCTGTGACTGTCCCCGACGATGTGGTTCAGAAACCTCTGGGATTGCTCTGTGGGAGGAATCTGGCCAAGTCCGGAGAAATGGGCTGGAAAATGCCTCGCATGCTGCGCGAGAGGCAGACAGCTGGCTCCGCTGAGGACGTGGCGGCCCCGAACGCTGCGAGTGTGGCAGTGACTGCTCGGAATTGGACTGGAGGTTCCACACGCGCCATGCTGGCGAGGAACCTGTCTACACGCTATCTGTTCTCGAAGACATGCACTAGCTGAGAGGCGATGAGCAAAGGATCTGGTAAAAGAGATTTCAACGCAGCACAGATGCTGTCAGCGGCGTGGGTACGGACGGCTGCTTTTTACTGTGAGAATAGGGAGCAAAAAGGCAAAGCACAAAGATGAGACAAACTCGGTTTGTCTACAAAAGCAGCACATACAAGCCGCCTGCTGAGGAAAGGGAAAACGAGTGCCGCTGAGAAGAGGCAACAGCAGCTGCCTCAGGGTCACCGCAGGAACCCAAGTCCCCGCCACAAGCAGCCAGCAAGCCGCTCCGGTCAGGCCGGTGGGTGAAGCCGTGAAAGCAGTGCAGTGGCACCCAGCTGGGCGATGCCGAGCACGGAGCGCCCGGCCGGCCACGCGGGCTGCTAAGCCCCTCCGCAGTTACGCCCAGCTCCAGACAGAGCTGCAGGGTCTCATGTCTGTCCCGCTGGGCTTGTGTCTGGCTCTGATCTGACTCCTCCTCTCCATCCCCCGTTCCTTTCTCTGGGAATGAGAATGTAATCCTGCGCCGTCCCACTGCTGGATGCTGGACATAGGGAAATTTCCTTATGGTTTTACAGGCTTCACAGATGGCTTTGCCCTGAGTCTCAGGAGACTTGGGACAGGGACTTCAGCCATGCTGGGTAGAGAAGGCCGGTACCCTTGGGGATGGACTGAATACATCGGCACTGTGAGCCTTCAGGAGACAGGCGGGATGTTCCAGCTTGCGTCGTCAGTGCTCCTCGAAGGCCCACAGGCTAAACACAGGGTCAGCAGCCTGTGGTGCTGCTGGGGGCGGTGGGGTCCTTAGCAGTGCAGCCTCGTGTCACTGGGGACCCAGCTTGTCCCGTGCTCTCTTTCTTGTTTCCCACCTGCCATGAAGTGAGCAGGCCCGCTCTGCCCCGCACTCCCGCCGTGATGCATGGCGCCAACATAATCCCGAAGCAATGAGGCCAAGCGACCGTGGACTGAAACTCCAACCAAAATTCACCTTCCCTCCGTACCACATCAGGCCTTTGTCCCAGGAGCAGGAAGCTGCTCACTGCTTTTCTGCAGGAACACCCTCCACCCTTGCTTCTTCACCCAGGTAACGCCACTCACGCTGAGGGTCTGAACCGAGTCACCCCTCCGGAAAGCTCTCCTCAGCCCCCACTGCAGGTCTCACAGCAATCTTCTCTCGCTCAATGCAACCTGCCACGCTATTTAAGACCTGCTTCTGCCTCCCTGGACCACTGGACAGCAGGTCTACAGGGGTGGAGACTGGTCCTTGTCCACTGCCACAGGCCCCCCTGCCCCAGCCCGATGCCCGGCACGAGGACAGCACAGAAGGGATGAGCGCATAGGCTCAGCCCCCGCATCCCACAGTGAAGGTCACTCCCCTTTCAGCACTACTTCAGAAACCTGGGTCTTCTCTCCCCCAAGGTCAGAAAGTACCAGCAGCATCTCCAAACCGGGCTACTCCTGGTAGGGAAGAAATCACCTCCCACAGGGAGACAGCTCCGGCACAGGGGCCCACACCCACCTGGTTCTGCAGGCCTGGCTGGGGACGTGTCCATCACCTGGGAGCTCTGATTCCGCACCCCACCACAGGGTGGACGCCAGGTGTATTCTGGCTGCAACAAAATTGGTGCTTAATACCCATAACCACACTCGCGAATCACAGCAGCAGCTGTGGAGCCTGAGTAGTACTAGAGAGACACTGGCCAAGGATAACTTAATGCTCCTAACTGTCCAGGTTAACATTCCCAGGGGAGGAAATGGAGGCTCGGAAGGGTTAAGAAATGTCACCCAGCTGGGAAAGGGGCCAGGCTTGGCTCCGAGTGACCGATCTCTTAGGCTTACGCTGCCCTCCAGGGTTTAAAGCCGCATACAGAGCAGGGTCACCCAGGGAAAGCTGCGGAAGAGGCCAGTCATCTCCAGGGCAGAGGGCAGAGCTAGGGATGTGGCAGAAGGCGTGGAGGAGAGCAGCAGGTGACAGTGGGTTTTGGAGAGAAAGTAGTACGGAAAAGGAAAGAAAGCACAAGGAGAGGAAAGAAAAGAAGAAAAAAAAGAGGAAGACGAGGAGAGAACCAGGTCCAGCTCTGGCAGCTGCTGAGTGTGGAGACGCGAGGTCAGGCTCACACTGGCAGCCCCTGCAGGGCCTGGAGAGGACCTGCCTCCCTGCCCTGCATCTCGGCCTTCTCCACTCTGCACCGGCAACCCTGCCCACCGCGGGCGGCAGAATTCTCGCCCCTGCTACCCTCACTGCCTGCCTCCCCAGCCAGGGCCTTCAGTAGCCCCAGGTGGCTCTTGCAGGGAGGCCATGGACTCACCAGATGGAAGAGGCGTGAGCCAGCCATGGGGGGTGGGTGCTCCATGCCCATGGGGGGCGGGGGGTAGCGGATCTGGGACCAGTCCTCGAAGCCATGATGCGGCACGAGGGCTGGCACAGGCGGGTAGGCATAGGGGTAGGCCCCGCAGACGTGCTCTGGGTGGGGCTCCACGTGGTAGCGCTCTCCTGAGGCCTGTGAGAAGGACTCACGTCAGGCTCTGCTCAGCAGTGACACCCACCTCATCTCCCCGTTTCTGGAATTCAGCCCTCTGAGGGCACTCGAGTCTGGGATGTGGGTGGGGAATGCGGGGAGGGGACGGGTGGGGACAAGACAGGGGATGTGGCTCCGGGCAGGGCAGGCGGCCACCTGAGCGCTCACCTTGGCCTTCCGCTTCTGCTGTCTCAGGGCTTCCTTCGCCTTCTCCTCCTCCTTCAAAGCTTTCAGCTGGAGAAGGGTGGAGGGAGGGAGGGAGGCTCACTGACACAAGTGCTTCAGCTAGGCGGGGCCCAGGGCCTCCCTGGCCATAAGAGGGGACTGGCTGTGACCCAGGGGAGCCCACTCCCTGTGGGCGGTCTGGACACAGGTCAGGAGGGTGTGCTGCTCCTGGGCTTTCCTGTCCCTGTCCAGCCCCACTCTATGACAGAGTCGGGGCTCAGGGTCACTTCCTAAATCTGCTTCTCTAAGCATGCAGAATGACAGTGCAGTCAGAGCTGGTATCCTAGACTCAGGCCTTGTCACTGCGCAAGGCCCAGAGGGGGCAAAGGACACGCTGGGGTCTTGGGTGGAGGAGGCACCAGCACTTGTCCCACGGGGCTGCTTGCTCCCACCTGGGTGTTTGACAGGGTGACCTGGGCCTGCAGTTTCTCCAGCTGCTTTTTCAGCTCCTCCTTCTCCTCGTTCATGCGTTCCCGGTCGCTGCGCTCCCTCTGGAAGTCCTCCTCAAAGATTTTCACCTGCGCACGCGGGTGGGCGGCTGAGCGTGGGCCAGACCCTGTGCTTCCTGCTCGGGTCCCAGACCAGGGCCGGTCTCACCCTGTCTCGGGCTTCACCGTGAGGGGCACGGGCACACCTCTTGCCCATACCCCCAACTTGGAACGGAATAGTTCTGCATCCTTCTCTCTTATGTTTTGACTTCGAGGAAGAATGTTATTTGAACAAAAATTCATGGCTTAAAAAAAAAAGATTAAAAGCCATCAACCACTGATGTGCAACCCCTCCATCCACTGAGGCCCAAGGGCGGAGCCACAGACCCAGCGTGCGGCACAGCGGGATTCGTCCGCTGGCTCTGCACCCCGGGCGGCCTCCCGCAAGGCTCCGGTGTCCCGGCGGGGAAGTACATGGCTCGCAGGTTCCCATCCTTGCTGCCCATCCCAGACCCTGACTGGAACGACGCTGGTTTAGGAGGGCGTGAGCAGGCGAGAAAGCCACCGCCCTTCACACTCCTCTCGTCCTCTGCGTGCCTCAGAGAGCATCTCTTCTCTGCAGCAAATATACAGGTCTTTCCATTTATAGCAGTGAAAGAAAGCTCCCTTTTAAACACACTTACCTAAAATTTAATTTTTACATAGCAGGTGAGGAGCCAGTGGGGCAGAGAGGGCCAAGTCACAAAGGGGTACGGGAGGGACTTGGGCAGGGCAGGGACAGGCCAGCACACGGGCCCTAATCCCAGGTCCTCCAAACCCTCTCTGGCCCTCACGATGGCGCCGGCTCCCCGAGCCTCACCTGCTGCTTCAGCAGCTCGTTCTGCGTGGCCAGCTCCTGCTTCCTCAGGAGACTGCTGGCACCCTCTGGGCTCCCAAAGGCGGCCGGGGGTGATGGGGAGGTATGGATGCTCAGTGCTTCCTCCAGGGCCTGGGTCAGGGAGAGAAGGGATGGGGCCGTCGGCACAGGGTGATCAAAAGCCAGGAAATCAAGCCCTTTGGGGAACACCTTCAGGGACCCTCTTCCTGTTCACGATGAAAACGACCACCAGTTCTGTGTTCCAAACACAGCCCTAACTGTCGACCTCCTACACACATCTGGTGGAAGCTCTCCAGTTCCGGGAGGGAGGACTACGACAGCCTCGCCTGCTTCCCGGGTGGACAGCTGAGGCTCAGAGACCCGAAGCGGCTTGCTCAAGGTCGCGGAGCTAGTGGCCCAGCACGTGACCTTAACCAGAAGCTCAGCTGGGGGCCTCTTGGAGGGGGCTCGTACTAAGCGAGAAGCACAGGTCCTGGTCCGCAGGCCCGGGAGGAACCTTAGGTCTGGGAGGGAAGCTCCGTCTCCCACAGCTGCTCTGCCTGACGCTGCACCTCCGGTTCTTCGAGTCTGTAGGGCCCTTCCTGGCTCTCTGTGGTGATCAGACTGGATCTTAATTTCTACTTATGTGCTACTTCACCTTTCTCACACTGAAGGGAAACTGAAACATCAACAAGTAACATTCTGAAAGTTAAAACAGCAAATCCACATATTTACAAAACAGTCCTTTATGTAGGCGCTATGCTCACATCTTTTGCTTGTTTTTTTTTCGAAACAGGATCTTGCTATGTAGCCCAAGCTGCCTCAAACTCAGTCCTCCTGCCTCCTCCTGATTAAAGGTGCATGCTACCATGCCCAGCGCCTCGCACCCTAGAAGGCATACACTCACTGTGTCCCTATCTAACCTGTTAACACGTTACTTCAGAACTCCAGTCGCCCTTCGTCACCACCTGGCTTCAGCCCCTCGATGGGCTGCTCCACCACCAGGCCTTGGCCCTGCCCGCGGTGCCGCAGACCTCGCGCCGACCTGGGCTGCACAGCCCCCCCAATGCCCCAGCTCCAGGGACCCGGGGAAGGCGCTGGACCAGGCGTCCACTGAGGGTCTTCCACGGGAGGTGACAGTCCCGCTCTGCCCTCCTCCCCCAGCGCACGTCTGAAGTGAGAGGACGAGTCCGAGACAGGGAGACGTGCCCAGGTCGAAGGCACAGCGGGCCGCCCGCCGTGCACACCCCTCCACGTAAGTGTCTCGGTCCTGACCTGGCCCAGGACACCTACAGCTTCCTCCTCACCGTGAGCACTGTGGCCAGGACTCTGCCAGCGTTCAAATCCCCAGTGCCCAGAGCTCAGGAACTGAGCATCGTGAGTGCCTATGAAGTATCAAACCCAACAGGGAGGGCTGCCCGGCAGGGTGGGTCCAGGCGCAGCCACACTCACGCCCGTGCCCCCAGGAGAGGGCAGGAAGCAGGGAACAGGAGCACAATCAGCACAGAACCAGCCCCGAGCCACGAGCTCCGCAAGGCCTCCAGGCCCGCAGAGCACTGCACTGGCAGGGGAGCAGGACTCAGACAATTCGAGCCGCACAGCAAAACAAGGCCCGACCCGGCGCTGGTCGAGCCAGGCTGGAAGCAGCCCTAGGCCTGCCTGCCCACTGCCCCTCGGCTGGCTCAGGTCAGAGCGTTTCTGCTTCACCTAGTCAGTGCCCACCCGGGTGTCTTCGGTGCCCGGACCCACCTCACGCGGGTGGACAGCCCAGCCCGTGCCCATCCCTCCCTTCAGTAAGCACTTCCGGACCACGTGCTCCGGTCAGGCGCTGGCAAAGCCAAGCAAGCGTTCACGGGAAAGCTGCTGATACTCCAGAGGCACAGAACAGGGTGACCTGCGGCCCTGGGAAGGCTCTGTGAGCGAGGGGTGCTAAGACGGGGTGGGAAGCCAGGCAGGAACTTCCCCGCCAGCTCACCCCTTCTGAGCGGGGGCCAGCGGCAAGGGGTGCACACTGCGGCTGGCGAGAACCCTCCCCATGCGGGGCAGCCAGGTGCCCACCTTGTTGAGCCGCTGGATCTCCTTCTCCTGGTACTCGCGCTGCCGGGTGAGCGGGCTCAGCTGGTCCTGCAGGTGCTTGACCTTCTGGCGCAGCTCCTTGGCCTCAGTGGTCAGCTGCTCCTTGTCAGTCTGCAGGGAGCATGAGGTGGGTAAGCAGAGCGCCTCCTCGGGACGCCTGGCCCTTGTCACAGATCCCTCTCTCCCTTGCTCGGCGGACACCACCTCGCATCACCCACACAAGGCACTGGGGGATGTTCGAAAAAGCCGGTGACCCTCCCCTCAACAGGAGGCACTGCTGCAGGAAGGCCTGGACACTGCGGAGCTCTGTGCTTACCTAAGCCCCGGGGAGGGGCCTTGCAGGGCCACAGGCCCAATCTGAGCACAGCCTTGTGCAGTTTTCTAGGGAACAAACCAGTTTCCACCAGCCTCACACAGGAGCCTCCTGCGACCCCCAGGGAGAGATGAAGCATGGTAACACCTACAGGGTCTTTTGTCTCCGAGCCCCGAGAGAGAACTTGCGAGGACATAACCACCATAGCACTCTGCACATGGTGTTCCTCCAGAGCCAAAGAGCTGTGGGGCTGAGAGAGAGATCCCCCGAGCCGAGAGGCAGCAATGGGGGCATCAGGGAGGGGATGCCCCTCCCACACCTGATACAGAACCTTCCAGGCTTCTGCACCTGGGAAGGGCACCAGACAGCCCCATGTCAGACCGGCCCCTGCACACCACAGGAACGGCATCCAGACGGGGAGGAGCTGCTGGAGCCCAGGCTGCCCACGCCACGCAGGCGGCTGTCATGTGTGCAGATGTGGACAGGACCTGAAAACAGCACCCCGGCTGCAGACTGCCGAGCTGGGGTGGGGTGGGGAGGTGTTCCAGAAACCTTCCCTCTGTCTGCTCCGAGTCAGCATTTCACAATAACGCACACACACCCCGAGGACAAGGACAGAGTCGGGTCAGGTCTGCCAGCCCAGGGGGCCTGGAGTCAATATTCTCCAAACCGAGAGAAGCTAGAGATGACCTGGCACCTGTGGCCAGAACAGGTGGAGCGGCTGTGGACGCCCCAAGGAGGCTCGAGGGTAGAGCAAGGCCTCCCCCACTCACAGCCACACCTGTCTGGGGGAGGCGTCCCCTCCGCTGTCAGAGCCCAGGGCTTTACCACGTCACCTCCCTCCAACCGAGCGGGGAAAGGGACTCAAGCACCTTCAGCTCACTCCCAGTCACAAGCTGTGCCGGCGCACTGCTGAGAGGGCAGAGGACGTGTCCTCCCTGCCGGGCTCGCAGACACAGCTGAGCGCCCAGGCAAGGACTCTGGCACACAGTGCACGTGACCTGTCCATCTGTAAGCCAGGTCGAGGCCCACACACGTCCCCATGGAGGCAGACGTGGCAACACATGACAACCTGGAGGGTCTGGAAGCCCCGCGGCCTGGCCTCTTGACTTTGCACCGGGCTCCTGCAGGGCCATGGCTGGCAGAGCAGAAGCCATTTCTCCAAGGTCCTCTCCTGACACCCCCAAACTGAATGTGGTGCTCCCTGCACCCACACTCTGGTCCCTGTGACCTGTCCTGTAGCACGTAATACATACTCACTTCTTTGCCTCTACCGAGCTGTTGGGCATCTTCCTCCTCCCCAGCCAGGGCAGGCTGGACAGTGCACACTGAATCTCCAGGCCCAGCCCAGGGCCTGGGACGCACACGTGGACAGACAGACAGCTGCACCTTTGTCAGCCCCGCCCCCACTGCCGTGAACCTGCTCGGATGCACCCCCACCAAGGCCGCTTGCGCCTCCGCCACCGTATGCTTCCCAGTACCCGAGCAGCTCTGGCGACTAAGACTTTAACTGACAAAACAAGGAAATCTGAAAGGCGAGAGCTAACCAAGCCTGGCTGACTCTCAGAAGCGAAACAGGCACGAGGAAGGGCAGAGCCCTGCCCTGAGCACCAGCGCTGGCGCGGACTCCACCTGACTCCTCCTGACGGGGCAGGGGCTGGCACAGCGGGGCCGGGGGCCAGCCTCACCTCCTCCATCTCAATCTTGGACTTGGCCAGCAGGAGCTTGCGGTCAAAGTCGCGCTGCTTCTGCTCCCGCTCAGCCTCCAGCTCAGTCACCTGCTTCTGCAGCTCCGCCAGCTTCTGGCGCAGCTCGGTGATCTGGGTTGAGAGGAAGCAAGAGAAAGGTGAGGGCAGGGGTGCAGGGTGCTTGGGGACCCGGGCCACGCTCGCCTTCACGGTCCCCAGCTGCCACCCTACTTCTCTGGGCCACCCGGGGGCTCAGCTCGGCCTCCCTGGAAGGCTCCAAGCTGCTGAGACAGAAGCAGCCAGGTGAAGACGCCCTGGGGTCACAGCCAGGAGCCCCACGGTACCTTATGCTCATACTGCTGCTTCATGGACCGGAAATGCTGGTCCCACTGCTTGTTCACCTCCAGCAGCTGTGGGAGAGAAGGGTTATACGCAGGGAAGGACAGTGCCGACCCCTTGCCCCGTACACCAGCTCCCCGAAGTGCACTCAGTGTGAACGGCGGCTGCACACCCCAGCCAGCGCTCCAAGTGCTTCCTCACTGCCGGCCACCGCACACTCCTCTGGGCAGGAGAGCGAGGCGCACGCCGCGCCAGCAGCCATCCTCGGGGGTCTGTGTGCCCCAGTGTCCCATTTTCACCGAGAGGCGTAGGAACGGCGTGAGTGAGGCTGGTGGGAAGCTGAGGCCCTGGCAGACAGGGGAGCCCCTCACTGCCACTCCGAAACTCATGTGCCATCACCGCTTCCCCAATCCAGTTTACCAGAGGAGCCCTCCGACCCCACCCTGACAACTCTAGGCCTCGGTGACCCTGTGGGCAGATCAAGGAAGGCCAGCAGGCCTCCCTCTGCAGGGCAGCTGGCTTAGGGCTCACTGGGGCCAGGGGGCCAGGCAGTGTCTCCTCCTGTGGTCCCAGGAGGGCAGGGTCTTCCCTGGCCGTGCTCTAGCTACCCACCTCCATGCGCTGCTGCTCCAGCATCTTCACCTTCTTCTCAGCGGCACCCAAGGCCCCGACCGCTGGGGCCTTGCCCACCATCACAACAGCCTGCGGAGAGACAGCGGCCTTCACCAGCGCCTCCGAGCAAGCTCACCCACCCGCCGCTCCCCAACGGCCTCGCCCTGTGGCCCCAGCCCTGCTGCTCCCAGCACACGTGGCCTGTCCCAACCCTGCCAGTCCCTTCTGGAAGACCACCCTCTCCAAGGCTGGTGGCACCAGCCTTCTCTGCACAGGCTCCACCCGAGATGCCAGGTGCTGCTGGCCAAGCCCTCCCGCCCACACTCCTCAGGCCCAGTCAGCAAGAGTTGCAAATTAGGTAAGTGTGGCCATGCAGGCCTGTTATCTCAGCTCTTGGGACGCTGAGGCAGGAGGACCCCTGTGAGCTAGAGGTCAACCTGGGCTACACAGTGAGTTCAAGGACAGCCTGAACTACATAGGGAGATCCTGTCTCAAAAAACCAAAAAATAAACAGTGTTATGTATTTTTTCAAGCTTTATCAAAATTAAAGTTTTGCAAAAACATTTATTTAGAAAATATTTTTCAAATGAGACAAAAATGCATGTGTGGATGCACGGTTAGTACATGCGTGTATCTTTCTTTGCTCTGTCCTCTGGAAGGGCCCACAGCAGGGACACCCCAGTAGCAATGCACACGCCTAGCGCCCACAGCCTGTTTGTTTTGTTCTGAGACTGGGTCTTGCTATGTGATCTAGGCTGGCCTTGAACTCAGTGATCCTCTTGCCTCAGCATCCCAAGTGCTGAATGCACAGCTTGGTTTCTAAATACCATTTTTTAATACAAAGAGACAGGACTCCTTTGAGAAGTGGTTAAGTCTAGGGGTGGGGCAGAGAAAATCTAAAGTGACTTTGGAGCACAGTACAGTGCCAGAGATTAAGGGAGTGTAACAGTAAATAGTAATAAAAGGGACACGAACAAAGGGGCATGGGAAACAATGTCGAAGGGTTTCCCAGGCCAAAGCGTAACACTTCCAACAGCCGAGTGAAGCATGATAGTACTGGATTATAAACCATGGTATGAAATAGCCTTGATTCCATAATGATACAAAGAAATAGCTCAATAAGTAAGAAACACATCTTTTTTTGTTTTTTTTGAGACAGGGTCTCGCTATGCAGTTCAGGCTGGCCTTGAGCTCACTTTGCAGCCCAGGCTGGTCTCAAACTCGCAATGATCCTCCTGCCTCAGCCTCCCGAGTGCTGGGATTTCAGGAGTGCATCACCACACCCACCAACACATCTTTACAGATTTTCAACTATAATGTGGAAAGAATAAGGGCAACACAAAGTCACCTTTAGAACAGCACAGTAATAAAGACCGTGCTGAGATCTACCAGCGGGCTCTAAAATTAGTAAAAAATGAATATTTAAGGAGAAACAGGATGTTTCCATGGTCCCAAAATTTCTCAAAAGTATTCATTAAAGCCAAGCACAGTACACACACACACTCCTGCAATCTGAGCTACTTGAGGGGCAGAGCCAGGAAGACTGAAAACTTGAGACCAGACTGGGCAACACGGTGAGACACTGTTTCCAGACCAAACTTTCGAAAGTGCTGGAGATGGAGCTCCGAGGTACAGCACTTGCCCACCATGTTTCAGGCCCTGGGTTTGATCACCGGCACTGCGAGGGGACCCCAAACCAACGAGAAAACTGAATAACAATTTGAAGTTATGCATGAAAACGAGTCACTGAGTCACTTACCGGGGAACAACCTGAGCAAACCTTGACCAAGCGATCCAAGTTCAGAGGAATCGGAGGAATCGAATACACCGAGGACGCACATCCCCGCGTGAGCCGTGGAGAAAGGCCCAGCACCCCACGCACCGAGCACACACAGCCTCCCACCTGCGAGACCCTGCCCCAGTCCACCCGCAGCCCGGCCACGGGAGGACAGCAGATGGACCCCGACTGAAGAACGTGCTGCAAGGCACCTGGCCGGTGCAGCTCACAAGTGTAAAGGTCTCAAAGGCCAGGAACAGCTGGGATGGTCAGAGGCGGCAGGAGGCCAAGCTGGGACAGCTTAACGCCATGCAGGACCCTGGGTCAGTCCCAGTGCAGCACAGCTCGAGGGAAAGGCAGTGCGCGGCACAGCAGGCGGCACGTGCTTATGCGAGCCCCTGGCTGCAGACTGAACCGTGACGCGGACCACGCTGACAGCAGCGGAGCCCGCGGGAGGGCAGCTGGGGACTGAACTCTGCACTCCTTCTGCTTATGTTTACAATTATCTCAGCACAGAGCTTTAAAATCAAGTACATTTTAAAATTTATTTAACATTTTAAAGTTAAATAAATAAAAACCACAGAAAGAGGCTAGGGTAGAAATTGAGCCCTGGTTCTATCCCCAGGCCCCTCGCTGGGCCTTGGCAGAAGATGTAACAGGAGGTTGGCCCCAGAATGCCTGGGGGACCTGTGACACAGAGCCCCCCACCACACTGGTGCTGGAGTCACAGTCTACGCGCCACACTCCCGCCCAACTCCACTTCCCCAGGCTCATGTGCTCCCTACAGGCCGAGGCCGTAAGACAGCTGGGTGCGAGGCAGGGGAGCCTCGCCTGTCCCTCAGGGCCTGCTGCCCGCTGCAGTGAGCTGCACTCAGCCAGGTCACTGCTGCAGGGGGAGCGGGGAAGGAAAGGACGGTCACTGGGGTCCTGGGTGGTGCACCCGGAACCTCCACAGAGAAGCATCCGTGTGGACAGCCAAAAGGAGCCAGAGGCCACGGACCTGACAGCTGGCACCAGTCTGCTGGCCGTCTATGACGACGGAGCCCTTCCTGTGCACTGCATCCCTGCTCCTCCCAACAGCCCTCAGCGGGAGGCGTTACAGGGAGGAAACTGAGGCCCGGAGAGCTTACGCAACTCATCCACGGCTGAGGCGTGGGCAAGAGCCGGCACTGGGTGCAGGGACACACACTCCCAGGACCCGGGGCCTGAGGGTCTGGGAGCCTCCAGTCTTTGGGGCAGTCGGCGAGGCAATGGGGCATGGGAGGAGCTGGGAAGCAGTGGCCTGAGCACAGGATTCCACCCGAGGCAGCTCCGAACACCCGTGGAGGTCAGCATAGTGCCGAGTCTCCTCCGCGAGGGCGGGGAAGGCAGGACTGGAGCAGAGGGGCACATGCAAGGAGGGACGGTCTCCGTGGGCTGAGATTTGCAAGTGTTTCCTGGCTGTACCCAGGTCTGCCTGAGAGCAGGTGCCACGGGCATCTCCTCCGCATGATGACCCGGGGCCGCTCCACACCTCACAGCTGTGAGCTGGAAGAGGCGTCCCAGGCCCGCCTACCTTGCACGAAACCAGAGGAGCCCAGAGAACATAGACTTGCCAGGCCTGCGTACACGTTACATTAAGATAACTACGACTACTGTATAGGTGTCTGGCTTGTCACTGACAAGACCTACTACACCGGTATCAAGCCCCATTGAAGGGGGAAAGTATGCTGGCAAAGAGGTGGGCCTCAGGGACGTGAAGATGGTAAAGGGGCACTTGGGACCTGCCGGTAAACCAGGACTGGGCCTGGAGGTGGAGGAGGAAATGGGCCAACCTAGGCACCACGGGGCTATGCCAACGCTAGCCAGAGCCTTCCTGTCTCCATTCCAGGGGCTCTCGGGCTGCAATCCCAGGAGCTGAGCAGGGTCCCCAGATGGGCTCTAACCCAACCCCCCAATTCTTCCCACGGACATGTTAAGCTGACTTCTGGAAGCCAACCTTTAAGAGACTGACAAACAAGTGTGCTTAGGGAGTATGCCAGACCGCACGAAGGCCTGCACACCACCTTCTGTGAGCGTGCCGAGAGACCGGCAGCTGGCTGGCCGGGAGAAGACCTCGGGGCCACAGAGCCAGCAGATCCGAGCACGCAGCCCAGGGAGTGGGGTGCTCCACCAGGCTGCAGGCAGAGCAAAGGCTGAGGGGCAAGTGCCGGGGAGGCTGAGGAAAGGCCATGTGCCAGCGAGGCGAGCTGCCGTGGGAGTCCCTGCGCAGGGGCTGCGAGCGCACCGGTCACTGTGGGGGGCGGTGGGGGGTTGCGCGCCCAATGCCGCAGAGGGAATTGGAACCCATACCTGCTGCTGCACAGCCGCTGCCTTCTCACCAGCACCCTCCGTCTTTGGTGAGCCTGGCCGCCCGTATGTCCCCTCTTTGTTGCTGTTGTTCATCAACAACTTCTTGAGCTCCATGTTTTCCTCCCTGGGTGGGGGCAAGCAGAGAAGTCACGGTGCTGGCCGAGGTGAGGGAGGAGCCAGTGGGCTGCACACCTAGGCTGTGCGAGCCAGGGGAAGTGGGGGGAGCGCACACAGGGAGCCGGAAGAGCGTGGCCCGGGAGCTCCTAGAGGCCTCTGGGGTGACACAGAGGGCCCGCTCACATGCCCCGGAGAGCTTCAGATGGGTCCAAACCTGTCCTCAGGAGCCCTGGGGTGCACCCTAGCGGGAAGCTCCACCCTCTCCACTCCTCGGGGGAGACCACCGAGCCTCCGTGTGGGCTGCTGGGTCCCGGGTCCTTGCTGCCACCTGTGGGCCTCCCTTGCTATCACGGCAAGAGCCGGCTGCGGGCTCAGTCGGCACCAGCAATGACGCTGAGCCACACCAGTTATTTTCCTTTTATTCCCACCGCATTTACTTAAGAGTTATCTTCTACTTAGCACAGGCAGTGTTTTCTATTTACTCTAGTTAAAGCTTCTTTAGAGTAACGCTTTAAGTAAAACATGAGTGAAGCTCAGTCTTTGTACCTAAGCAGGTCAGTGTCACCGGGTGAGGGTGGCAACCTGGATGTGGGGTGACTGAAACGTGGGAAACACCTCTTTCATTCTATTGCCGGACGGGCCTCCGCTCAGTAACAGACGGACTGAGAAGTGAGGCAGCTTGCCCAGCACACGGTGAGGACTGCTTTGACTCTGGCCTTCTAGCGCATGAGTCTTTGCTCCAGTCTGGCCTTCTGCATCCATGGACGGCGCCGTGTGGCTACAGAGCCCCCACAACTCCGCCACCGGAAAGTACACGCAGACATGCTGGCCCAGGGGCTCGGCACACATCACCGCGGCCACACTGACGCCTAGGTAGGGCTCACACACCTCGTCCAGACAGATTTTTGCCAGGCTCAGGAAACTCCCAGAGGGTAGGAGGCTGGTCACCAGGGGGCAGCAATGTCCCGAGCAGGCACTCACACCGCCCGCTGGACAGTCTCGCTTGGGCTAAGCAGACAAGCTCCCAAGAGGACAGGCGATGCACGCCAGCCTTGCTCGGAAGCCCTCCTGGCGTTCTGTTCAGATGGTTCCCAAGGCGTCCAAAGGGCCCGAGAGAAAATGCCGAAGAAGCCAAGGAGTCAGGCAAGACATCCGACGCCCAAAGGCTCTCAGGTCCTCAGGCCAGACGCGGTGCGACACCCCACCCAGCTCCCGCCTGCCCCACGGTCCCCCTCTGCCCGCAGCTGGGCGTACCGCAGCCTCTCAGCAGCCTGATCCCGCTGCTCCAGGCCCTTGTCCAGCTTGGCCTTCAGGGCCTCATTCTCCTTCCGGAGCTGCTCGCACAGGGTCTGTAGGGCAGAGGGGCGGATGGGGCACAGGTGAGCAAAGGGCGCACCCTTCTCAGCGCGGGAGGCTGTGGCCAGCCCAGACCCAAGCCCTCACCCCACTGGACTGCCTCGCCCAGGGCCCTGGTGGGGCAGTGCGGGCCGGGCCGGGCCGGGCCCTCTTTGGGAGTTGGTCTGGAGGGCCCTGAGCAGGCGTCGCCACAGCCTGCAAGCCGAGCTCCAGCCCTTTCCTTCCCCGCCTAGCGCCTGACTGCTCTGCCTCCACCTGCCCGCGGCTTCTCTCCCCTCAGGTCCTCCTTCATGCTGTCTCCTCAGAGCGAAGGACGCCCGCTCCAACTAGGTCAGGTCCCCTCCATCACACACTCAAAGGCCGGCTCTCAGCCTCGCGCTTATGGACAGCAGAGCGGAACATCTGTTCAATTCCTATTTCCTCACATCCACCCACTGACTGCGGGCTGTGAGCTCTGGGTTCGAGCCTTCCCCTCTGTGCCTGCAGCACTCGGGGCGAGCAGCTGACTGAAGCACTAGGCATAGGCGGCCACGGAGGCATGCCGGGAGCGAGGACCGCAGATGGGAGAGGCTCGGGGTGGTGGAAGGAGGGTGGAGCACGGGGCCTGGGTGCCTCCGCGCCGAGCCCTCAGGGGGTGGCCACACTTCACTTCCCAGATGTCCCCTCCACCACATGGGCAGCTGCTCCGTCTCTGTCCCCATTCAGGGTTGCTGAGCAGGACGGTCGGGGCGAGGGCCTCGCCTGCCAGCAGTGACGACCTCGAGGACTTGGGGAGCAGCTCAGGGTGGTGCAGAGGCAGGGAAGGCACCCCAAAACGCTGCCTCAAGGGGTCTGGTGGAAGTGCTCAAATGCTCAACGCGGGCCGTGTGCTTGTCCGCACAGTTTCCTAGGGACCTCATGACTTCCCCAAAGCTAAGTAATTCATCTCTATTTTAAGGGTAGGGAGACACCAAGTAAAATAATTTTTGTACAGTTGTACCACTATTAATAATCACCATCAGGCTGGGTGCACCAGTGCACACCTGTTATCTCAGCTACTTGAGAGGCTGAGGCAGGAGGATCCTGAGTTTTAGGCCAGCCTAGGCAACTTAGTGAGACCCTGACTGATAATAAAAAATTAAGGGCTAGAGATGTAGCTCAGTAATAGGAGTGTCCCTGGATTTGACCCCCAGTACCCCACACACATACACACGCAACACACACAAAATAAAGGAAGAAAGAGAAAGAAAGAAGAACCCTCACCACTAGAATTACCCTGCACCTGCAGACCCTGAACCAGCCTCTTTCCTCCAGGATTAAAGATCGGAGAGGGGAGTGGCGGAGCCTGCGGGTCAGCCAGCTTGGAGCTCTGCCAGGCCGCAGACAGTGGCTCCAGGAAAGAGCCCCCTCCCCCACTTCCCAGGCTCCCTGCAGTGGGACATGGCCACGTGGTTCTGGCCACTGTAGGGAGCAAAGTGACACTGCCACTTCCAGGCTGGCTAGGGGCAATCCCCAGGTCTCACTTCACCCGAGCAGGAGCTAAGGGGACGCCCAGTATGCATGACACAGCCTGGGTCTAAGCACCTGGGAGGGGCAGAAACAAAGTCCTGCCACATGGCACGCGAGGGGCGCTTCTGCCAGGTCACCCAAGACTGCGAGCTGCTGGCTTCCTTTCTAAAGGCAAAGTCCAGCGAGGCTGTGTGCAGGAGAGAGCCCTGCCCTGGAGGCGGCTGTTCGAGGCGAGGTGAAGCCGAGCAGACAGGAACACTGCTGCTCCTGGCTCCCCTGTGCTGAGCAGTGTGTCCTCTGCTCTACCAGGCATGAAAATGTTTGTTGAGTGAACCAAGAAACAAATCAGTGAACGAATGAGGAGGAACCGGATTAATCCACTTCCACCCAGGTGCCTGCGATGCGTGGGTGGGGCCTCCCGGAAACAGAGTGTCCGCTCCTGGTCACTGAGGGGAGGTCACGAAGAGGCCTCGCCTGCTGCTCCTCCAGGACAGAGGGCAGCTCCCCGGGGCTCTGAGGAAACACCCTGCGCACACACCGGGGAGCCAGTGGACAGGGCCGCAGAGGCACAGACACCGTCACCTCTGTCCGGGTGCGAGCGCGCGCCTGGGGGCTCATCTGTCCCTCGGTTCCTTCCACTCACTACTCATTGGCCAAGTGTGCGCTGAGTGCAGGTGCCGGGTTACCATGGTGACCACCCAGCCGAGGGACCTGCCGCCTCACGAAGCTGTGTTCCAGCAGGCAGCGCCAGGAAGAGAGAAAACGAGCAAGTGACTACCCAGTAAGACAGAACTACTGCCAGCTACGGCAGCCCTAAGAGGAAGCCCACAGGGGCCCCACGGAGAAAGCGAAGAGCTGGGCAAGGCCGGGCAGGAAGGCCAGGGTCTCCCTCCAGTTCAGCCGAAGAGCTGCTGCTCGGGGCAGCCTCAGCCCGCACCGTGCCAGCTTCACCTGCCAGCCTCAAGCCTGGACTCCAAGGCTTCTGTGGCATCTGAAGGGGTCCCCTCCCTCAGCCTACCCTCAGACCTGCGTGCTCACGCCCACCTCTCCTGCCCTGAGGTGGAAGGGTGTCCCGTAGGCCCCTCTGGCCCCGTCTCTCCCCTCATGCCACCCTCCCAGCCCGGACACACCCTGCCAACCCGCCCACCCTCCCCTCACCCACCAACGGCACTTTAGCATGTGCGACACAAGCCCATTGACCAGTGGCTGGGGGAGGAGGGCCTAGCGGGGACCAGAGAGGCTTCGGGCCGGGGCTCTGCTGCTACGGTTGCAGGCACTCAGGGCCTGAGCAGGGCCTCTGGGGGCTTGGAGGGTCGCCAAGGTGAAGAGGCTCTTCCCCACCTTCAAGGCTAAGACCCCCGGGCCAGCAAGGGCGACCATCCTCACGCTGTCCTGCTGGTGACTCGACCCTGCTCTTACTGTGCTCTCGCTGCACTGGGCGCTTCCTGAGTAGCGCCTTGTTCAGTGCAGCAGTCGCTGAGGAAGGGGTCCCAGCTCGTGTTACTGCAAGGGACAGTGGGGAACAGAAAGGACAAATGACAGGCAGACAGCAGGAAAGAGCTAAGGACCACATCCGTCTAAGGCCTGGCCTGGCACAGCAAGGCAACGTGCCTACTCCCACCACAAAGGAAGCTCTTAGAGTTTCCTCAGGGAGGCGAGACGCTGGCTAAGAACACGGGCTTTGTCTGTTTGGCAGTGCGGGCGTGTAGCCTGGGGCCTCCACACTGACCTCCGTCTGCAGTCATCTGTCAGGCTTTTACTTTGAGACAGGGTGTCGATAAACTGCTAAACTGCCCAGGATGGGCTTGAACCTTTGATTCCCTGCCTCAGCACCCGGAGTGCTGGGATTACAGGTGTGCACCACCACAGCCGGCTAAGAACTTAAGCTTTACAGTACGACAGGCTGAGGTTCCCTTCCTAGCTCCATTTACCAGCTGGGTGGCCTAGGGTAAGAAGTACCCTTTCTCGAGGGCTGTTCCCCTGTGCAGTGGGGACAGGACCAGCTTCCCCCTCAGGGCCGAGAACCAGGTTACCCCAGACCTGGAAAGGTGCACGCCCCCGCCCCCGCCGGGCTTCCCCACTTCCTGCCCCGGCCGTGCTCTGCCCCACCACTTCCTCAGGGCTCCCACTGCCGCCCAAACAGGAGGTGCAAGGTCTGCCCGCAGCACAGGCCCCGAGTCCCCAGGGTGCCCAGGGCTCCTGAAGGGGTGCGGGGCGCGGCGGGCTCACCTGCAGGGTGGAGGTGCGCCGCTCGTTCTTGTGCACCTTGGAGGCCAGCCGGTTGAACTCCAGCGCCATGCGGCCCAGGTGGGTGAAGAGCTGGCTGCGGTCGGGCTCCTCTGCGCACACGCTCAGGGTGGTCTCCAGGCGCTGCAGGTGCTGCATCAGATTGCCGTCCTCTCGGGGCAGGGGGCCCAGCTCCTGCGGGGGAGGAGAGGCCACCAGTCTCTGCCAGGGCCCGAGCAGGTGCCCCAGCCCATCTCCCACTGCTTCCCCTGTCCTCGTGGCTCAGTTTCCCCCTTGGGGTCAGCACTGCCCTGGGAAATTCTCCAGTTACACAGGTTCCCTATCTGGGGCTGACTCACAGGGCAGGCCCCAGGCCTCCTGCGCCCCTGGCTGGCTCCACAGCACCAGGCCGCCTTCCTCCTACACGCTGGGCCGTGCCGAGTGGCTGCGGGCATCTGGACAGCTTCCCCTGGCCTCAGCAACCTCCTCCGCACAAGGCTCACACTGCCTCCTCCCTCCCACTTCCCGGGCTTCTGATGAGGAGGCAGGAATCCAGAGAGCAGCCCCACATGTGCACCCCACTTCCTCAACGCAAGGAGCCTCAACCAAGCCACGGTTCTCCTGGAAAGGGTCCAAGTGCTCACCCCTCAAGGGCCACGGCTCCCAACAGGCTGGAAATCACAGCTCTGGCTATTTCAGGACCCCACCTAGCAAGCACATGTGAAGCGGAACGGACTGCAGGTGAGACATTGTGTCTCACTGTGTGCTCTCTCTGGAACACGCCTGCCAAAGACACCGCTCTGGATGGGCCCACGCCTGACCCGGGCCCACACAGGAACCTTCCTGCTGACCACACCCGCCTGGCTCCCACAGCAGCAGGCAGCTCAGAGCTGGCCTCCCCACTCCCCTTGACTGAGCCCCACCAGGTCCTGGGCTTCCCTGGGCTTCCTTCCCCTTCCTCTCGACTTCCTCTCGACTCTGCAAGCTCCACTCCTGTACGCCCACCCTGCCCCTGCTCCAGCTCTTCCAGAAACATGCATGGGAATTACAGAGCCTGCAGCTACGGGGACCCCAGGACTCGCGCTCGAAACCAAGGCACCGATAGAAGGCATTTGTCACAGCTGCCCAGGGAGTCAGTGGCACAGCTCAGAAAAAAACGGAGGGTTCCCGATGGTGATGTGTGCTCAGGCTCGCTGACGCCCTGCTTGTCCACACTCACACCAACCGGGCGTTCACCAAAGGCCCACTTCATGTTGTTAGCCCTGCTTGAGAAGCCGAAGCAGCGCTAACACGGCCCCTGTCTAACACCACTAGAACAGCTGCCTGGCGTGGCAAGCAGCTCCATCACCAAAGGCGGGCTAGCATACCCTGGATGGTCCCTTCACACTTACGTGAAGCAGCATGAACAGAAGAGCAACATCAGCCACCCAAATCTTTACGAAATGAGGCCGAGGAAGCAGAGCATCAGTGAAGGGTCAGATCATGTACGACTGGCATAACGCTCAGTTAAAAGGGCTCCCAGTCAGAAGGCAGGGAGGAGGAGGAGGAGGAGGAGGTGGGGGGGAGGGGAAGGTAGGAGTCTTCCAGACTGTTCACCATGCTCTCCACTAAGTTGTTTCAGGGGAGGAAAGAGGAAGGCAGGGTTGGGAGAAAAGCGGCGAAGTATACGGCACAGAACGAGGCTGCTGGGAAAGCACCTCAGTGCTGAGCAACTGTGTGCGCGCGTGGACGTGGCACGTGCATGCCCTCAGAGTTCAACCTTCAGTCCTAGAGCCTGCACACCTGCCTCGGTGGTCCTGGCCTTCCTGGCCCTGCTACTCCCCAGGCTGGGACCCCACAGACCCACAGGCCAAGTCACACTGTATGGAGGTGACTGCCCAGAGGGCACCAGGGCTGGCAGAATGCCTAGGCTTTCACAACAGTTGGGTGCTGTGTGCTCGTTGGGGAAGTCACCAGCCCAGGGATTTGCATATGACATCGAGAAGCAACCCCAGCACCGGCCCCTCCACGTCCCCATGTGACTCCAGGGTACCCAAGGGATGTGAGTGATTCCATGCCTCTCGCACAGCGCAGCTGACACAGTGGAGAGGAAACGGCAGGACGCGCTCAGGGGCCTCCATCCACTCACCGTAGAGTTCCTGGGGTGGCTGCCACTGTCTGGTGGAGAACTCTGCTCCTCCGCGGGGACCACTTCAAATTCAGAGGACGTGCCCTGGAGAGAAGTTAGGGGCCGCTCAAGACAGTGCACTGGCCCCCACCCTGAGGGCAACAGGGCGGAGCAAGACAGCCGCTGCTCATCCCTAGCTGCTCATCCCTGGCTCCGCCGGGGACCCACTCTGCAGCGGGAGCCGCCAGCTGAGCTCACAGGCTGCTCTGCATCCCTGTGGGACTACATGGTGGCTCCTGACTAGCCACACCGCAGGACGATCTGAGGGTGGAGCCCTGGGGTCGGCCAGTTTCCCAGCTGCAGAACAGGGACTCGGGGCAGCTGACCTGGAGCTGCTGTGCTTCGCAGTGCCAAGGGCTGAGCCCAGGCTCGCCTGTGCCAGGGGAGCGCTCTGCCACTTCCCAACAGCCCCAGCCCTTCAGATTTACAAGAGCATCTAGGGTTACGGGTTGTGCCACCACACTCAGCTGTGACTGCGCTTTTTAAGGGTTTGTACTTTCAACACGTGTTCGTGAGCTTTACTAATTCTCAGTCACCCGTGCAGCGGGTACACAGGTGGCACCCTAGGAAACAGAGGCCATACAGATGGTGCCAAAGCGGGGACCGGAGCCACAACTCCAGATCCAGCTATGGCGTCAGAGCTGTCTGCGTGCCCATGTGGCTCTGACAGCTCTGAGGTGACACAGGTAACACCTGCTACAGCTACTGCCAGACACGCTCATGTGCCAGCCTTGCCAAGCCAGTCTCAGACTCCTGTGGAACGGACTGATCTGAGAAAGTGCCAAGACAGTTCAACAAGGCAGAAGTTTTCAGAAGTCATTCAACCCCACAGTGACACCCAACCCCGTGCTTTTTCTACTTCGTGGCCATTCCAAGCAAACTTCTCCCAGTGCTCACCTGGCTGATGGGCAGCGGTCCAAGCGAACCTGCACTAGTCTAGGGTTCCCATGAAACCTGGCTACGAAGTCCATTTCATGCAGGGCATGGTGGTGCATGCCTGTCATCCTAGCACTGGGGAGGCTGAGGCAGAAGGATCCCCATGAGTTCAAGGCCGGTTTGGGCTACATAGTGAGTTCAAGGCCAGCCTGAACTACATAGTGAGACCTGGTCTCAAAAAACAACAACAAAGACTTCCTCAGCCTTCCCTTGTCCTGAGCCAGGGCAGGACAGACGGAAGAAACCAGCCAGATTCCAAATGAGACTCACAATCACCATAACCACAACTCTTGTCTCAACCCTGCCCTAGACAGTCCTCCCCAGCCCTGCCACGGCCCGCTACCCAGGAGACCGCAAGGAAGGCCCTTTGCTCCCCGCCTGCCTGTGGATGAAGATGCTAAGCTCCTGAGTCCCTTGGAGCCTCCCAACCCCAGGGTACCAAGGCAACCTTTTCAAACCTGCAGAGGAAAATTTTTATTTTTGTTTTTTTTTTTTTTAGAAACAGGGTCTTGCCATGTAGTACAGGCTGACCTTGAACTCATCATGTAGCCTCAGCTGACCTCGAATCTACAGTGTTTCTCCTGCCTCAACCTCCCGGGTGTCAGGAGTACAGGCGTGAACCATCAGGCCCAGCTGCAGAAGATAACTCTTGGGATGTCTCAGTCCCATGTCACAAGTCCACGTTCCTAGCACGGGGCACAGTCAGTGCGTACTTTGTCATTCCACACCCAAGTTTTCCTGCTAAATTTTAACTACAATTTTTTTTGATGCCTCACAGGGCTTGAGACTGACTTTCTCAGTCCAGCAAGATGGGGTGCTGTTTCTCAACCCCAACCTTATTCTTCATATTTTTTTATCTCAGGAGGATGTGAAGTTGGATAAACTCTGGCCATGGCTCCAAATGCAACTTACGCTGGACGGAGGCTTCGGGGCTGGTGTGGACTCGGCGCTCGGGTGTGCAGGCGCAGTGGGCGGTGCGGGGACACCTGGGTCCTTTCCTGGAAAAGTCAAGAGATCGTGGATGAGGACACTGGAAAGGGGGGCAGGCCCAGACGGCAGCCCCTCAAAGACAGTGCCTGCCTGGGCGCTCTCAGAGCCGCCCTGGGAGTTGGGGAGCCAAGGTGGGCAGCTCTCTGGGGACTGGAGGTGGAGTCTGGAAGACAGACTCCCTTCCCTGGACCTGCTGAGGTGCCCACCACTACTGGAGCCTGCCTCCGTGACGAGAAGGACGATGCTTTACAATTAAGAAGGGCTTATAACTATTTTCCTGGCACTACATCCCATTTTAAAGTAAGGAAACTGGAAACAGAGGCTTGGCCAGATCACTGACTCGCCCAGTCACCCAGCCAGCAGCTGCAAACCTGGGCCAAACTCAGCTGCTCCCCAACCTCCTAGTGCTTTCTGCCGGAAGCTCGAAGGTGGCTGTTTTACTCTGGGTGGTCCTGGCACCAAGCACGGACTCAGGAAGGAGTGCTGAATGGACAAGTGGAGGCGGGAGGTGTCTGCTGACTACAGCAGCACAGGGGACTCTGAGCCCATCTTGGTCCCCCATTTGCCCATATGTTATCTGTCGCGCCAGCCGAGTGGAAGGTCACTGCACTGGGCTGGGCAGAGACCATAAGGTGGAGCTGCGGTAGAGCCAGCTGAGTCCCACATGGGGCTCGTGCCCTCTTTGCCCTGGACTTGAAGACAGGCTGCAGCAATGCGTTATGATCACATAAAGTCTCTGCCCCTTAGTCACTGTCACCCTTTCCCTGAACAGCTAACGGGACGTAGGCCGCAGCAGGCTAACAGGCAAGTCGGGGGAGGGGCAGAGCACAGAGCTGCTGACTGCTGTGCTGGCAATGAGACCCGAGAGCTGCCTGGTACCCCAGCCTGGCCTAGAGCTGCTGAGTAAGTATCTGTCAAATCAGTATACGCGTAAAGGTCCTGGGGCGATGTCTCGGACGCAGCAGATCATTGTGACCGCTGACGTGCGCCAGGCCTCAGGAGTGCCGAGTCACTGCCCAGTTTTAACAAGACTCTGAGGTCCCTTCCACATCTTCTGACTTTTCTGGGGGGTTCCGTAGCCACAACAGGAGGGGGGTGTGGCCTAAGGGTAAACGCAGGGGACGTGGGCTTCAGAATGAAAAGCGAGCTCCCTGTTCGGGGCACAGGCAGTTGGGGCACAGGGAACGGCCGTCACCCTGCCTCCCCTTGTACCTGTGAGCTCAGCCAGCTGGCTGAAGGAGCCCAAGGAAGGAGAAGGTGGTGGCTCATTGTCCTTGACTAGCTCCTCCGCCTTCTGCCGGAGCCTGGACGCTTCCATCTGGGACTCTTCCAAAAGCTCTCCTGGAGAGACAACGGGGAAGGGGAGCAACAAGGACCACTTAGTTCTGTGGGCTGCTTCTCCCTGTCCTGTGACCCAAAGCCACCTCTGCCTGGATTCCAAGTCCAGGCCCTGGGCTTCTCTACACCACCACTTTGTGCCCAGGTGGGACAGAGCCAGTGCTGGCCTGCGGCTGGAGCCAGGCTGCAGTGCGCAAGAGGAGCCAGCAATCAGGGCAACGGTGGAAGGGAACCCTGCAAGGAGACCAGGCCTCTTGGCACCCTCTTCCCGCCTCACACTTCCATGCCTGGCCATGGCACAGCAAGTCAGGGGGGCTCTCGGGCCTACCAATGGCACCCCAGAGAGGGCCACAGCCTATGCCCCAGTCAGGGCTGCCTGCATGGTGGAGCCTCTGAGCAGACGCCCAGTACTCAGGGCCTCAGTTTTCCTCCTCTAACTGTGGAAGGGCAAGTGCCAGCCTCCCCTCCCCAGCCGGCATCCCAGCAGGGGTCTGCAAGTAAAGGAGTGCATCTGAGCAGTCAGGGAGCTGGGAACCTGCCACCTCCAAATCCTGAGACCAGGGCAGCGGCACCAAGGCAGAGGAAGTTTCAGGAGGAGGGTGGAGAAGTCGAAAAGGCCTGGCATGCAAGAGATGGCATGTGTGCTGGTGTGGGCACAGTTCATGTAGGCAGTGGGGACAGTTTGAGCAGGAGCCAGAAGGGAAACTGAGGAAGCGAATGCCACTTTGCTTCAGGGAAGCGCTGTTCCCTGCCCCACCTCTTAGCTGTCCTGGCCAGGCCAGCTCTCCCTACTGGTCATACCCCAGAAGATGAGATCATGCTAGTTCCAGACCCACAGGCCGGGCCTTTCGACCCCCTACTCCCCATCCTGAGCATATCCAAGGTCGTTTGGGTTGATGGGAATCAGGGCGGGAAACACTGTCACCATGCTACAGAAGTGCATACAGACACATCTATGGGGCCAGGAGGGACAGAGGGTGATCTGGGAAGAGGCCGATGCCAGCTGCGTTCCCCCACCCAGGCAGGGAGTGGGTGCTGCTTTACCTAACATCTTTATCCCTTGCATTTTTTCCTTCAGCCGGGAATTCTCCTCCACTAGGCGCACAAGAGCTGCAGATGCCTCTCCTGGAGGTGTGCTGCCCCCAGGGTCGTAGATCCGGTAGGGTCCTCTCCCTTCCATGAGGGTGGCTCAGCCCACCTGGCTGTAAGGACAACAGCAGTGTATCAGGGGGCTAGCCAGGCCATCAGAGCATTCTTTCTGGGGAAGCACTCTTCTGCCAATGCCCCAAAAGCAAGTCACACAACCCAGAGCACAGCAGAGCATTTCAGGCCGGTTCAACAACAGCGTGGCAGTGCAGAGCAGTCGCCACCTTGGATCCTGATACTCGGCTCCTACACACGTGGCCGGGGAATGGCACTGTCTCTCTCAGCGGCCTCACCGCAGGGCCTGCTCATCAGGGACAGCAGGGGTGCAATGTAGAAAGGACCTGGACTTGGAATCAAAAAACCTGAGTTCACGTCCTGTCTGGTGTGCCCAAAAGGACAGGCATCCTGCATCCTTAAGGTCCCACACAGTATTAGCTATGAAGTAAATGTCCCCCAAACGCTTACCAAATAAGTAAAGGGCTAAGCCAGTAACTCACAGTGGGATGGGGGGAGTCCTGACCCCTCTCTGATGAGGGGAAACGAGAGTGTTGACCTCAATCGGTGAACTTTACAGGAAGAAGAAAAAGCCTGACTAATATTTAGTACACTGTCACCCTCCTCCTCTGGCCTCAGGTCACGAGCAGTGTGTCCCTTCCAGTTCTAATGAACAGAAGAATTTCCCATCAAACCACTATTTATTTGTACAGCAAGTTTCTCTACATTAATCTATTCAATTTCTCCTGCTTTATTTCATTTACAATCATTTTGCAGAGCGGCTTCACAATCCTGGTTCCATAATCCAAGAAGAGAAACTCTCCTCCCATTCACGCATTCATTCAGGACGACGAGGCAGCTTGTGCTGGGTTCCAGGCTGGGTCTCGGGAAATGACCGCCTCCCAGAAGGCCAGGCTCAAACCCCAGCGGGAGGCTGGCCTGGCTCTGACCGCAGGGAGCCGAGGTGCTGTGCCCAAGCACACACTCGTGGCACAGCCAGGCTCCCACACGCAAACATCCTCACGGAGTTCGCGTCCCACTAGGTGACGGGAAACATCTCACGACAAAAATTAAGCAGCAAAGATGAGACAGGCACTTTCATTTTAAAGGAGAAGCAGGAAAGGGCTCTCAACGAAGGAGCTATCAGCAGTGACCTGACAGGTGCAGGGACAGGCGTGGAGCTGTCTGGAGAACATTCCAGGCAGAGAGCAGCAAGGGCGAGCACTGAGGCAGAACACAGCCGGCCTCCAGGGCTAGGAACAGCTCATCAGCACTCAGAGCTCCCAACATGCCCACCAGGGACCTCAGAAAGACGTGGGAGAAGCCCAAACCTCCCTCCCCCAGACCACCCCCTCCAAGCAAAACCTGTGCTCCTTAGGGATCCTCAGAGCCCTGTCAAACCCAGGCAGAGACCACTGAGGGAAAAGTGAAGCCGGATGAACAATACCACCGCTCATTAATCACCAGTCCACCAGGCAGTGCCGCCGGCATCAGATGTCTTCTCTCCACGAAGCTACGCAGCATCCCTGAGCCATATCCGACCCCATCCTCATTTCATAAGGCACACAGCGGGGCCCAGCAGGGTAAGTAACTGCGCCAAGTGACGAGGCCATAAGCACACAGCTGACACAAAGCCAGCAGCACCTGCCAAGCGGGCAGAGGCTCTAGAACCCAAGTCCAGCCAGGCGCAGGCTCCCTCTGCAAGGCAAGCCGGAGTGGGAGGGGTTTCGAGCCCGTCTATAGGGCAGTCCCAGGCTATCAAGCACCCTCTGGCTCTTCCCCCAGCCTGCAGCTAAGAACTAAGAACTAACAAGGGTTTTGCCAAGAGGTCCACAGGATGGAAGGGACTAGAAAGAAAAATAAGGTTCTGCCAAGCAAGGCACCTGCCCCAAAGGCTGACAAATGGACAAACACACACTGCGAGAGGCACCCACACTCTGCTGGGCCCCACAAGGCAAAGGACAGCTGCCCACACAGCACTACTTGCTCAGGGGCAACTTGCTTTTAACTTCAAAGGTCAATGTGATACAGCAGTGCAAGACAGCACAGATGTACTCACTGAAGTACAGGGCTGGTGTGGGTGAAGCACCTGGCACGACGCAGGCACTGCCCCAAAGCACTGGCAAGTGTGAAGTGAGGGGAGGGGAGGGCAGGGGAGGGGCCTTCCCTGCTCGCCTTTCTCCATCTCAGCAGGATGAAGCGGGCAGTGCCTTGGCTAAGCATTCCCTGAGGCCGGCACAGGCACCGTGCATCTCCACGACCTGGTATGAGAACAGGAAGGTGGGTCACCCTGGAGAGGCGAACAAGGTTCACAGATGGGAAGCTGAGGGCTGACGGGGACTGGAGCTGCCTAGAAAGGTAAGTAGCAGCGGGTGTCCCGACTCTTGTCAGGTGCGCTAACAAACCCACGTCAAACAACACTACGCGATGACACATGCTGTTTTAAACTCCACGTCTGGCCTCCTCAGTAGTTTAGACTCCTCCCCACTAAGCGCAGGACCTTGTCCACCTTGTGTGCTGGGCACCTTCGAAGAGTGGCTCAGAGAATGGCCTCACTATGCCTCCAACTCACAGCAGGAAGACTGAGACTGGGCCCAAATTTCCTGAGGCCATGTCCAGACTCCCCAGAGAGAGCCTGACCTCGACCCTAAGCTGAGGCACTGCGCGCAGGCACACAGCTCCACGGGGCGGTCAGGGCAGCACGGGCAGGCACATACCTCCATGGGGCTGATGGGACACTGCGCACAGGTACACAGCTCCACAGTACAACCAGGGTTAGGCACAGCTGAGCTCCCTCCGAGATGCCCAGATGTGAGGCCAAGTGACAGAGCAGGTTGCAGGTTTAGAACCTGACACTCCCTCTGGGTCCTTTGAACCACCTGAGGCCCAAGCTGTCTCTGTCCACAGGGAAGGGGCCCAGGAAGCAAAGCATGGGGTGGGCAGGGCTGTTTTCCCCACTACAGCCAAGGTGGGCTTCTTGGCAGGGATGGAAGACACTCAGGACAAAGAAGTTACTGGGAGAAAACTCCCCGGAGATCAGGGGCTGTCAAGGGAGGGCTTGGATTCCAGAGGAAAGACAGAGAGAGGACTGGGGATTTCCAGGGCCTGCTGACCTCAGGCCCAGCTGGTCAGCAGCAGTTCCAGGAAGATCTGGGCAGACAGGAACTCCCACCGTGGTGAGTGATGGTCTAGTCACCTCTCTTGGAGGATCGTGCTCAGGATGACAGAGCTGGAGGGGAATCCCCCACAACGAAGCCAACCCCCCATTACCAAGCAGCGAGGAGACTGCTCAGGACTGGTCAGTGAACGAAGGCCCTGGGAGACCTCCAGGACAGCGTGCGTCTCCTCCACACCACACAGTGTATGCACAGGGGGCGGCGGCACTAACCCCACGCTGGGCAGGAGCTCATCTGTTTCTCAACCCTGGCACAAGCAGGGCCCAGAGCAGGGAATGCCCAAGTCACTCAACAGGCAGAATGGCGCTGGGAGGAGGACACCCCGCCCCCCACCGGCCGGCCCGCAGCACCTCTCTCGACTCCCACTGCGCCGCCTGCCTGTGGGTCTGGCTGGAGGCCCCGCATCCCCGGCTGCTACTCACCTGCAGCCGGCGGCCACACGTCAGCAGGTGACCCACCAGCCCCGGGACGCCAGCCCAGAAACAGCTCGCGCACATCGGCCAGCTCAGACCTTCCAACAGACACAAGGCAGAGTGGGAAGGGGGCCTTCCCACAGCCTGCCCCGGAGGGGCTCGGGGGCTGCCCGCCGGAACCAGAAAGGCCCCGTTTGAGGGCAGAGAGGGGCCCAGACAGAAGGCAGGTCAGGCACCAACCACAGCGCGGAGATGAAGGGATGCTCCCTGCAGACAAGCAGCACAGGGACCTGAGGGGCCAGGAGCAGAGGCCCATCACAGACGTGGCCGGGGAGAGGAGGCGGATGAAGGCTGGGTGCAGAACTGCACACAGCCCAGCCTCTGACTAAGGTCTTCCAGCTGGTCTGAGAGTGTCTAGCCAGAGCTGTGTTGCAGGCTGAGGTTGTGGGGGCGGGCCCTGGAGAGCACCAAGGTGGGGAACAGCAGATACCCAGACCTCCTAGACACATACATTTGCATAGCCATTAGCATGTGCCAAATACTGAACACTTTCCCAAGCACGGCTTTTCTGTCTGACTGTCACCACAGCCCCGGGAAGAAGGTACGGCTGATGTGTGTCTGACAGATGCAGAAACCAAAGCCCAGGTTGGGGACTTCACTGGCCCAATTTAATGCCACTGGTGACCCTACACGCCTGGAGGAAGTGCAGTTCTCCCTGGCCCAGAGGGAACAGCTCAATCAGATCTGTCCCAGGAGACCGGAGGAGATCATGGTAGCAATGTGTTCCTCCTCAGTAGGACAGGGTCCTCCAGGAAAGAGCTCAGAACAGAAGGTCAAATCTGCTGCACAACCATGGACTCATTTCCTCCTGCGTAAGGGGGGGAGCCAGGACCAGACAGAAACTGTGATGTCCCAATGCTGGCCAAAGGACCGGAGGAGACCTACGCCTCGGGACCCACAGCAAGTGAGGGAAGAGGGATGGGCCCACTGGAGCTGATTCCACCCTGGAGTGGGAATTAACGGTCCACACAGGGTCTTGAAGAGGCAGAGGCAAGTCAGGTGCTGAGGGCGCCACATGCAGAGAGCAAGCCGCCCTCAGATGCTGCCCTCTGCCCCACCGCGCCTCCCTGAAGGGGGACTAGCTCAGCCACGCATTCCTCCTTTCTGCACCTTAGCTGCCTCATCTGCAAAGTAGGAATCATAAAGGAACCTTCTGGTGCAAGACTAAAGAAATCAAATGAAACATGATGTAAGTTGGAAGGGGGTTTTCACTTTCTACTGCATATTTTCTGATGATTTGATTTATTTCACAAGAAACATAATCCACATTCCCTCAGGTAAGGGAGGGTTTCAGGTTCCTCTGTGAGCTCAGAAAGTTGGACTGCAGCTTCTACATAATTTCCAGCAATCTGCAGATAACCACTTGCTGGCCTCAGATCAGTAGTCACCAGGTACAGGACTTTAGCTAGTAAAGATGAGGCTGCAAGAAGACTTGGTCCACAAGACTGGGAACCACCTGGGCCTCATTTCCTTCCACTGCAAAGTGGAACAGCCCAGAATTCCATCCAAGGAGAGCAAGTGAGCCCCATGGAACAACAATGCAAAACGCCACTCACATTCTCGTTTTAGGGTGACATCCAGTCCTCCACAGTGGCCCCAGGTCTATCGATCTGGACCAGGCTAGACTTCCAGAGGAGCAAAATTACTCTGACACTGTGACGGTGGATACATGTCATGATATGTTTGTCCAGTGCATACACCGTGTAGCATCAAGAGTGAACCCAAATGAAAACGACAGAACTCGTAATGGTGATTCCTGTGTAGAGTCACTAAGTGCGACCAACAGGGTGACGCCCTGGCGGGCGTCCTGGTAATGGCGACGGCTGTGCGTGTTAGGAGGAGGAATGTACAAGAACTCTCTGCACCTCCTTTCAATTTTGCTGCGGTGCTGGGCATGGTGGTGCATGCCTATAATCCCAGCACTACGGAGGCTGAGGTAGGAGGATCACTGTGGGTCTGAGGCCAGCTTTGGCTACATAGTGAGTTCAAGGTCAGCCTGAACTACAAAGCAAGACCCTGTTAGAAAGAACGAACGAATGAACGAACGAACGAACGAACGAACGAACGAAAGAAAGAAAGAAAGAAAGAAAGAAAGAAATACCCTACACACAAATCAATTTTGCTGTGGACCTAAAACTGCCCTTTAAAAAAGTAAGATAAAATATTTAAATTAAAACAACAACAAAGGCTAGGCTTCACTCTCCTGAGAAGTGTTAGGCTTACCCATCAGGGAGGCCACTGCACCCACTTTAGACAAGGTGCCTTTGCGGGGCCCTGCCCCAATAAGGAGTCCAGGACTCCACCACTGGCTGGGTCCCCAATTCAGTGATAAAGACGCTGTTGGTGTAGACACACAGAAACTAGGACTCGAACCCAGAACCTGGTCAAGGTTAACAGAGCAAACATCTTCCCCTGCCAGCGGGGGTCCTGCAAATCTCCATGGCCCTCTTAGCTGTAACAGTTTAGAACCTGCTATCCAGGAAACTACCATTCCCAGCTCAAATCCCCCCGGCCACCATCAGTCCTCCCAGGAGAGCGTGCAGGGGTGCACTGCCTCCCCAGGAGCAGCTCACGACCCTCAGCTGATGGACGGCCAGCCCATGGCTGGGGTGGCTCTCCTCCCGATGTGGGCAGGCCTGAAGCACAGCCTGCAGACTCTGTGTCCTCCCACTCCTCCCTCTGCTGAGTCACCTGCAGACACAGCCCTGCCGCTTCTGTGACCTGAACTACACAGCACCAGACACCCATGCTAGAACTCAGCCCAGGACATCAAGGGGCTCACACAGCGCCGACAAGGACTCCAGGGCAGCTGGCTGGTGCGAGGCAGGGGGTGGGTGGCCATCCATTAAGCGGTGCCTGATGCCAGGCACTGGGCGGCATCCTGACCCGACGCACATTACCTGATGTGTTCCTTACCACACAGAGATGAAAAGTATTATCTCTGCTTTCCAATGAGGAAACCCATCTCCTTCCCAAGATAGTCTAATCTCTATTTTTCAGAAAAGTTAAGTCATCTGCCTAAGGACACACAGATGGTTCTGCCGAGCTCGTCCTGCTGTGCTCCCCTCCAGAGCACGCTTTATGTGCCTCTAACTCTGCTTGCGTCCAGGACCTCCTGCAGTCACCAGGGCTTGGCGACCCAGCTGCATGGATGCTCTGCGCTAAGCCTGTCCTGGGCTCGCCCAGTCCAAAGAGGAGCTGGGACTTCAGCCAGCCAAGTCCAGCAAGCCAATGACTCCCAGGGCAGCCGTGCAGGGACAGCAAGGATGCTTTCAACTCTGCCTTCACTGCCCTCATCCTGCCCACTGGGGTTCTGGGAATAAAGAGCAAGATGCTTCTGGAGACCCGAAACCCCAAGTCTTCTCTTGAAGCTAACCAGCCTTTGTTTCTCACCTTGTCCCACAGGGCCAGGATTCCACAACTACCACTACAACCCTATAATAGCTACTGGACAGACAGTTGCTCCTGGGGCTGACAGCACTCCAGTTGTGGTTTGTGGTCAGACTGGAGTGTCCTGAGCCCCACCATCAGGTATCACACTGCTGATGAGCACCCCAGTGCGATCTGATTTTCTTAGGGCTGGCTCATCTACAGCACAGCCCACACGGTCAAGACGTGGCCCCAGGACCACACAGTGGTGAGGCGCTGGAGCCACGGAGAGCTTCAGTGACTGGGGCATGGACTCACGGGACTATGGGACCCCGATCTCCCCCTTTCCTTGCCTCCTGGCTGAGTAGGGGGGCAATTATGATTCATGAGGCACTGCCTGCCCATAGCCCCAGGCAATGGGACCGATGGATCCTGGCCTGAAAGCTTCTCACTGCAAGTTACGCAGCTCAGATGCTCCCCAGCGAGGGGAGCTAGGGGTGCTCTATCTGTGTTGCTGTCAGAGTCTGCACACACCTGAGTAGCTGGGAACAGAGCTCCACCTTGGAGGGGCGCTTGCTGACCAACCTGGTCACCTCCCTCCAGGCATCTAGAGCTCGTCCCGTCAGCACATGCAATCGTCACACAAAGATGCCCACTGATCTGTAACAGCAAACGTGTCCTGAAGGTCCACCAAGAGGGACAAATTTAATAAACCATGGGGCAGCCATTTACAGACACTGAACAGCCAGCCATCAAAAGTCGCGGGTAAGGTGCTTTTGTAATGACAGAAAAACGCTCATGAAATAAAGAGCAAAGTGCAGACTTCTATGTGTAACGAGAGACTAGTTTTTTTAAAAACTACCTATCTCTGTGTGTGCAGAATCTTAAATGTACCCCCAAAAAAGCCTGGAAGCATACATCCCAGACCGCTACTAGGAGGCAGCATCTACTACAAAACCCAGCAGAGGGGCTGGAATCAGACTTACTTTACCTAAGTATTTAACCCTACATGAGAAATCTGGCCCTGCACTTGTACAATTTAAGCGTTAATTTTTACATATGGTAGGCACAGAGGAAGCAGACAGGAAAAGAACAGAAGACAAGTTTACTTTATACTTCTTATATTGCTTGAGGTTTTTGTTGTTTTTCTCCCTAAAGGGCATATGTCATTCTGTAATTTTTAAATTTTTTTTTTTTGTTTCTGTTTTTTGAGACAGGGTCTTGCTATATAGTTCAGGCTGACTTGAAACTCACTGTGGAGCCCAGGACGGCCGTGAATTCACAGCAATCCTCCTACCTCAGCCTCCCAAGTGCTGGGATTACAGGCATGCACCACCATGGCTGCTGTTCTGTAACTTTTAAAAGGAAGATTTTAAAATAACTTTTTAAACAGTTTAAGTGGCCTGGCAAGGTTAGAAGGACAGGGAGGGCCCACTGTCCTGGCACCAGGTGAGGCTGGAGCACTGTGGGTAAGGGTGGCAACTTCCTTATTATATGCCCGCTTTGTGTGCACAGACCAAGCTGCAGGCACTTAGTAAAACTGGGGAAAAGGCCCAAGGACGAGTTTTCTATTTAAGGGAGTCAGTCTTTGGAGAGGTGGCAACTGTAGTGGACAGTTTCCTCTGGAACCCTAGAAAGGACCTGGATTCAGGAAGCCAGACGTGACCCAGGGAAGCACAGAAACACCCGACGACAGAAAGCACCTCAGCTGGGAGTGAGGTGCAAGAGTCTCCCTGGTACAGCCCATGAGCGCTCACACCTGGCATGACACTGTGCCAGCAGGCAGAGTCCAGAGGTGCAGGGCTTGACCCCCAAGTCCTCGGAGCGAAGTGGAACCCAGCTTCTCTCACGCCTCTGGCTCCAGCCTGGTGCTCCTGCTGCACAGGACTCCAGGAAGGGCTGAGGAGGCAAAGCGCCCCTCTCTCCTTCACTGCGCTTCCTGCCAGCGGCAGGGGCCTCACTGAGCCCAGCAGAGGCCTCAACTAGCAGTGGTAGCGACAGAGGGCACCCAGCCAACCTCAGGACGGGCGGGCTGGCTTGGGCGTGGAGCTCGGCAGTGCAGCACTGCCCAGCATGTGGCACCATAGCTATGTCCAATCCCCAGCGCTGCAAAAGGAAAGAAGCAGGGTGGGACTTTTCTATCTTTCTGTCCCCAGCATGCCACAGCAGGGCAATCCAGCCCTGTAACTTTTCCCCTCGAAAATGAAGACTAATTTCTGACAATTCCTGACAACTCCTCTTACAGCAAACAGGGTAGAGAAGATTAAAATCAGGCCTGCCTCTGTTCCCTCCTCAGGTGACCCTGGACAGGTCTCACTTTGCTTGTTTCCCTCTCTGGAAACGTTGTATGGACCAGGCCAGAGACAGAGCTGTCTGTAAACCTTGAAGTGCTCCCCAAACGGGAGCCATGATGGCTAAGGGAGCGTGAGGAACAGAGAGGCTGGACGGGGAGGGGTGCTCCAATAAGAGCCAGGGAGGCCTATTCAAAAGCAAAGGGCTAGCAGCGCACACCTGTAATTCCAGCTGAGGAGAGAAGATTGCCACAAGTTCAGGGCCAGCCCAAACTACAGTGAGAGCCTGCCCCCTCCCAAAAACCACCACCACCAAACCAAATCAAACCAAGCCAAGAAAAAAACCCCACAAAATGTTGTGATTCCATATTAAGGAATACTACGCAGCAGTGAAAATTAAATCAGAGCTATGTGTATAAACAGGGATCACTTTCTCCAATATAACATTAAGTGAAACAAGCAACTGTGTGGAAGAATAGAGGAAGCATGATAGCACTTATACAATGTTTTATGGTATAAAACAATACTACTTATTGCTTAAAGATATACACATCTATAAGGAAGCCAGAAAAAAATACCTAAGAATGATAAAGACAATTCTGAACACTTTCTTTGAGAGGCTGAGAGCACGACCATGAGAAATTTGGAATGTAGACCATGAGAAATTTGGAATGTAGAATCGCTCGAAGCGTACAGTGGGTGCTCTACATCTGAAAGACCGCTTAGTACTTCCTCAGCATCAGCAACACCAGCTCCCAGGGGCAAGGTCCACAGGAGAGCAGGCGGAAGTGCAGGTGTGGAGGCCGAGGCCCCTCTGACCGCTGTGGAGCCAGCCCGGTGCAGGTCAGTGCGGTGAGCCTACAGGCCGAGGGGAGCAGTTGAGCTGCAGCCTGAAGCAAAGCTCCAGACCCACAGACCCCTACGCCCACCCTGGAAATACCAACTTGGACCTCTGAGCAGAACTGAGCGGCACCTGGAGCAGGATGCAGGGTCCTGCCTCCTGGCACTGCTCACTGCAGTCATCTGTCCCATCTGGCGGGGTGACCATCCCAGGAGGGCCATGGGAAGAACACCACGAACTTCCTGCAGGGACCGCGGTGGTGGCCAGCCTCTGTCTCTAGGGGTTGCGCACCACCCCCCGCAGAGCAGGAGAGCTGTTCCCTGCCTCCGGTGCCTTTCTCTGCAACTCTCCCAAGAGCCGGAGACCCTGCCTGGGCAGATGGATGGAAGGGGGAGACACGGTATGCCGGGAAGTGGGGACAGAAAGGCCCAGTCCAGGGTTAGAAAGCCAGGGCCTTCCAGGGCCAATAAGAGGGCAGCCCAATCCTGGGGAGGTGCTGTTTCTAGAGCTGGGAGAGATGCCAGCCGGCCTGGGCCTTCATTTTGCAGCTGGGACACCAAAGGCAGCAAAGGGTAGACACTTGGCCCAGCCTCCATGGCCAGCCATGGCACAGACGACCTGAGGAGGTCTGACGGTGCTCCCCATCACTCTCACCACAGTCCCTCGCCTCCAAGGGGTCAGGTGAGCAATGAGGGAAACACGGGAGATAGCAAAAGGCCACCTGGGCTGAGGTGGACTCACAAAGCAAGATGTCTGTCACAGAACTGGAGGGCCCAGGGTTGGGGGCAGCTTGTTGGCCTAGCACCTCCAGCAGAATCTCACTTCAAACACTGTTTCCAGGGTCAGGGGTCCACACAGGAAGGGTAAAGGGATCCCTGCCCTCACTTTATATTCCAGTAAAAGAAAGACAGTAATACTGTGCCAGCCAAGAAGTTCTGTAGATATCCTCTCTCATTCACAAATAAACAATTTATCTCACAGCATCAGAAATATATGAAAAAAATAAAACTAACATGACAGAAAGTGAAAAAGGGGGCCACTTTGCATAGTAAGGTCAGGGAAGGCCCCTCTGAGGAGGTGGCAGTTGAGCTGAGCCTTGACAGATAAGGAAAATCCAGCCAAGGGAGGAGACAGGTGTTCCAGGCAGAGGGAATGGCAGCAGGAAGGCCCAGGGGAGAATAACCAGCCGGGCTGGAAGACCAAACCCAGCCCAGATGGTGCGGCCAAATCATAGCAAGTGCACAGCAGTATAGTCAGGGAGGGATGGAGGCGTCAAACAGCCTCCCACAGTGCCACTGCTCTCAGATCGCCCTGACCCCGCCGGGACATCCGGGGCCCAAGTCAAAGGCAGCTCTGGGGCGAGGGTATGAGTCATACCCCACGGCTTCCTGGGGCCCCAAAGGACCCAGTGTTGGCATCTAGAAGCAGGCACCAACTCTCAGTCAGGCTACACCCACACCTACAGAACACCGTGGGCAGGGGACCACATGGTCACTAAGTATGTAGCGCAAGGACACGCCCACCCGGGCTTCCAGAGGGCGGTGACCGAAGGCTCCCCCCCAGGGCCATCCGGCCCTGATTTGCAAAGACAGTAGTACTGGTCAGCTGACAGGGAACAGGGCCCAAGGTTCCAGACCTACTAGTCTTGGGCAAGTCTTCACTTCTCTGGGCCTTAGTTTCCTCATCCGAAAACTGAGACTACAGAGGCGACTTAAATAAGACACTGAATCCACAGCACTGCCTGGCAGCGGATCACAAATGTACGCCAGAGACAGTATCCTGATCCACTTCTTCCCTGCCTCCATTTGCTCTGCTGCGAAGCGGACAGTAACACAGTATCACAGGGTTGCTGGAAGTTTGAACTATAAATACCTCACTCTTCCGATAAGACATCCATTGTCAGGAATCAAAAAAGTATTATTTTTTGCCCTGAGAGTCCCTTTTTCTGACCTCTCAATCAGACCCCGAATTCCCCTCTACCACACCCCATTGTTTGGAAAATGAGTAAGAGCTGATTAAATACCGTTTTGACGTTACAGTGAAATAAAAATGATGCATTAGGAATCTACACATTTCCCTGCACCGTCATTCTGCAAGGGGGTGGGGATGGATGCCGCCGATTCTTCTGCATCATCAACGAAAGTCCCTTCTGCCCCGTACCGGCTTCGCACCCAGCGGCACAAAATTCCCACGCGCTCCGGCAGACACGATTAGGGCAGAATGCAATGACCTCCAGGGGCATTACCACACACTGCGGCCAACGTCCTCCCTGCAAACCCACCTCGGTAATAACTCCAACCCCCAAATCACTTCCGGAAACGTACTCCAGCCACCCCACGCCTGCACACCAGTGTTCCCGACGGTGTGCAAAGCACGTTCAACACAAGCACAAACAGAACGCCAGGCCCCTGGAGCTACACGGCAGAGTTCAGACCCTGACTCTGCCCTCACTCGCTATGCGAGCCGAGCCTCCAGGAGCCTCCGTTCCCTAACCTGTAAGACGGCGGTGAGCACGTTCACATCCAGTACGTGCGCGACCACCACGCGAGTTTAACCTCCGCAGAGCGCTTAGAGCCACAGGCGGGGCCGCCCGGCAGGCGCTACCACTATTTTCTCAACGTTCTGCCCGCTCACTGCTGGCAAAACTTCACGAAACTACTGGCACCGCGCAGGCCACCGTCGCGACGCGAGCCTCCCCGTGCCCGCCCGCCCCC